CCACTTTCCCCGAGGCCACTAACTTTCTGTGGGCAGGACCCACAGCTGTGCATCTTTATACAGTTTGGATGGGTGGATGGATGGATGGATGGATGGATGGATGGATGGATGGATGGGTGGATGGATGGATGGATGGATGGGTGGATGGATGGATGGGTGGGTGGATGGATTGATGAGTGGATGGATAAATGAAACAGAAGAATCCACGGAAAGGTCTCATCATTTTGTTCAATTAATCAATAAACATGAACTGAATGCCTGCTGTATGCCGAGTGCTGGGAGCACCTTGGGCCAACGCAGGCACAGGTGCTGCTCTGTTGGCATTTCAGTCTAGTAGGAGAGACAAATAAATTGGGCAAGTAAGTAATTATAAATGATGATAAATGACATCAAGGAAAATACCAAGGATTGTGGTGGAGAGTAAAAAGAGGAAGAAAGTCCCTTGTAGTGGGAAATATTTGAACTTAGACCAGGGGAATAAGAAGGAAAATTCCAAGGACAGCAAGGGGCTGGGTAAAGACCCAAAGGCAGGAGCAAGCCCAGTGATCAGGAGTTGGAAGGAGGCGGCAGGACTGACGCAGAGTGACCAGGGGAGTGACCAGGAGATGGAGATGGAGGGGTACCCTGGAGCCCTGTGGGCCTCCACAGGATATTTAAGTTGCACAACAGAAAGTTTCTAGAGGAGAATTTTAAGAGGAGAAACACCATGATTTGGTTTTCGTTTTTAAAAGATCAATGGCTACTTTATGGGACTGGCTTGGAGGGGAAGAAGGATAACCAGGCAGTAACAAATTGGCTACTCCAAAATATTATTGTGGTCTGGGCTAGGGGAGCTGGAAAAAATGGACTTTAGGTACCTTTTGAAAATGCCAACATTGGTAGAGCTTTGGACTAAACAGATGGTGAGGGACGGAGAATTCGGGGAGACACACTGATTTTTTTGACTTGAGCAACTCGGTGGGGTGGTGCCATTTTCTGGCTTGAGAAAGACAGTAGGTGGACTGTGGGAGAACACAAAGATTTTGTTCCACCAGACATGGTGGTGCATGACTGTAACCCCACCACTGGGAAGGCAGAGGCAGGAGGATACCAGGGAGTTCAAGGCCAGCCTGAGCTACACAGTGAGTTCAACTGTATGGCAGGACTCTTTGTTAGAAAGCAAAACAAAACAAAAGCCCCCAACATTTTGTTCCAGTTGGGGTGCCTCTTAGTTACCCCTGTACAGCCTTCCAGGAAGCAATACACTGTGTCAGTGTGGAGATCAAAGGAGATGGTGACCTGGTTCCCTGGCTTTGTTTGCAGTCACGGCCGCAAGGCTACCCTGTGGAAAGTAAACCCTGAGAAATTTGAAGGATTCAGTAGAAAAAAGGACAAGTAAAGGAAACCAAAAAGGAACAGGCAGGCAGATAGAGAAACCCTGAGTGTGATTCCATGGAGGCTGAGAAAATAGAATGTTCCAGAAAGAGGTTTTGGCCAACTGGGTTGAATGCTTCCGAGAGAGAAAAGGAAGTGAAGACAGAAACATATGTGCTGCTCTTGGCAGCAGGGAGGGTGCTGGTGACTGACACAATGTGTTTCAGTTGAGTGGAGTAAAAGGGAGCCAGGTTGGAATGGGCTGAGGAATGAACGAAAGGTAAGCAAGTGGACACAGCTGGTGCAGGCACTTTCCAGGAAGTTTTTCTATGAACAAGGACAGAAAACAGGGCGACAGAGGAAGGGGGATGTGAGACTGGGAAAGCTGTTCTGCTGTAGCTGCCGCTGCGTTTAAGACGGGAGACACCAAGGCTTGGACATAAACGGAAGAAGTCAGTGAGCAGCAGAGAGGAAAAATAACATAACAGGAGAAAGAAATCTTAGGGAGGCGAGAGGGCCCAGGGCCCTGAGTCAGGTGGAAGACTTGGACTTTGATTATCTTTCCACTCTGTTAGAATGGCGGAGAGGCCATGGTGGGGATGGTTCTGTACACAGTGGCTCCTGCTTTCTCAACGAAGGAGGAAGCAAGGTCATCATGAACAGACAGATGAGAGGTGCAGGTGAGCAGCTCCAGCCCTGGAGAAGCAGAGGACAGTGATTCTGGGAGGGACAAAGGGCAGGGAAACTGACCACATCTAATGCCATGGGTGTGACAGAAGGAGAGAGATGGCCAGATTTGGGGGTATTAGTGAGTGGGAAATTAGATCCTGGATCCTGCTGGATCCTGAATCATGGAACTGAGGCTGGATGAGGTGAGAAGTGAAGACAGAAGGGATCTTACGTGGGGTGGGACTGCGGGGTTGAGAAGAACTGAAGACAGAGAAGTCTGAAGACCATGACCCCAGGCTCTTGAGCTAAGGGCTGAGAAGGCAGACAGGAGAGGGGGGAACTCGGCCTCGTGATATCAGGGAAAATCATGACTTCTGGTTGCACTTAAAGGAGAGGAGGGCTGAGGCTAATCCATTCATTGCCTCTAATTCACTCAGTCATTTGTTCATTTGATAAACTCACTGAGTGTTACGTGTGTGACAAACAGGGAGGGATCCACCCAGCCAGGCTGCCTAGGGAGAAGGTGGTTCTTGCGTAGGCTGAGTCTGGAAGGATGAATTGGAACTCTCTGGGAGCCAGGGAACAGGGATTCCTGAAAGTGAGCAGAGCACCAACAAATGGGTGAGAACAGGAAGCCACTTGGCCTGTGTAAATGAAGATAGCATAGCCAAGTGCCTGTCGGAAGGGATCAGGTGCTGAGGTAGGGATCACATCATTCAGGAAGCACTGGAAAAGTTTTGGGTTTAGCGTTAAGCCACTGAAGGATTGAAGCAAGGTTTGGGGGCCAGGATAGGTGTCCGTGTGCGTGAGTGTGTGTGTGTGTGTGTGTGTGTGTGTGTCTGGCAAGATCACATTTATGATTTTAGAAATGCAGATGGTGGATTGGAAATGAACCTGGAGGGAAGTTATTTGAATAGAGCAGGGAGGGGTGCGTGTGAGCTTTGGCCCCGGGGAAGTGAGAGGGCATTGATGTTGGGGTGGCACCTGAAGGGCATAGTAATTGGTCAGATTTGATGCCATGATGGTTTTTCCAGCCACCAACTCAAAGTGGGCTTCAACTTTCTCTGCAAGTGAAGGTATTTTTCTTTTCACGTAACAAAACATTCAAACAAGAAGTGGCTCCATGGGGCTGGGAATTTAGCTCAGCGGCATAAGCGCTACCTTGCAAGCAGGCAGTCGTGAGTTCGATCCCTGGTACCGATAAAAAGGAAAAAGACAAAAAAAAAGAAAGAAAGAAAGAAAGAAGTGGCTCCAGAATGGGTAAAAGGGCAGGAGGAGAAGATGTTAGGAAGAAGCACAGGTTTTGAAGGGAGAGATATGTGCTGGACCGGAAAACATCTGCCAGCGGTGGGAGAGGGGAAGGCCCTGGAGTGGAGGCCATGAGTGGCAAAAGTGTCGGGCCACATCTGCTCTCAAGGAAGCAGGCAGAAGTAGTGTGGGATGCTCAGGGTGCCCAGCAGAGAAGAAACCCTGTGACTGTCTCCCGGCACCTTGCGACTCAGGTGAGAGGGGTTTCTTCAAGGTCTGTGTTAAAGCTGGACTTTGGCTTTGGACCTGATAATTCCTCTGGGCTTCTCTGAAGGAGAGCAAGATTGGGATCAATCTTGTTGCCAGGTGGGGACTGTGAATTGGGTAGATCCCTCCAAGGCCACCTGGTGTCCTCATATGGTGACAAGCAGAGATCAGCATGCAAAGGGATGGGTGATGCACAGGAAGGTGGCCAGATGTGTGACAGGGTTATGAGGGCCTGTGTGAGGGGTTGGGTGTACACGACATGTGTGTGTGCACATACGTGTGCATGTTTGTGTATGCACGTGCATGCTCATGAGTGAGCAGCTGAGGGACTGAGGCAAGGGGTGGGTAGGAATGAGCAGAGTCATTCCCTGGAAACACGATTCCCTGGAGGCTGGCAAGGAGCAGCTGGGGAGCCAGGCACGGGTGTGGTCAGCTCTGCCCAATGACATCTTCCCCATGTGTTGGCCAGGCCTGAGGAGTACGTCTGCTGGCCACAGCAGGGACACAGCTCGGAGCCTGGACCAGCCTGCTGTGGCAGGACTGCTGTCAGTGCAGCTTAGGGGTGTGTGTGGGGGGGGTGAGGGTCTGCGTTGGAGTCCATGCATGTGAAGGCTGTATGTGACTGGACTGTGGTGGCCCCCTGTGCACGTCTGCTAATGTGGACATTCCCCAGAGCCATTTTCAGTAAGTGACCCAGCACTACCCTTTCACAGGGAGCAGGCTCAGGAGGCTTGGAAGAAGGGGCCAGGGGCCAGGGGAGGGATCGGGGCTGTCCCAGGAGACATTCCACACAGCACTCACAGGCCATAAAGTCTGGGGAGTGACCCTTTCCCCTCATCCAGTTCTTGTGGGGACCTCCAGCCTAACACAGGCCCTGGGAACTCTCATCTGTCCCTACTGCAGTTGCCCATCTCCTTGTTCCCGTGACTTTTTCTGTGCATCTTCCTCCTCTGTGCTAGCATCTGCAGCTGTCTTGACATGGATCCTTATGTCTTTTTGCTACAGCCCCTAGCCTGCCCCAGTCTTCCTGGGATGAGGGCGGCACACTGCTCTCACCGGGCTGCAGGAAAAGCTGTTAAAACCCTATGCAAGCCCAGAGGCCCTTCCTTCTCCCCTTTCAGAGCCCAACTCCAAACTTCTCAAAGATCAAGAAGGGGGCTCCACACTCCCACATTCCCCTTTTCCCTCCATCCAAGCCAAGGATGGAAAATCTAGACAGTGATACCACATTCTTTAAATGTGCCCCTGCTAGACATTACTAATCAATCACAGCCATCTTCTTTCTCCAGTCTGGCTATCTCCACTGACATATCTAGGTAGCTTGTATCACCTGATCCATGTGGCTCCACGATGAAATCTATCTGCCATCGGTGCATTAGGCTGATCTTGCGAAGACTCTTATCCTGGCCAAGGCAGGGACCACATGAATACAATCAACTGTGGTTCTCTCTCTTTCCCCATAGGCTGAAGTCATGCAGTTCCCGGAGTTTGGGCCCAGGAGGTATTGAGGGCTCTGGGGCATTGGCCCCAAGTCGCCAAGGCTGGAGAGGATCTTGTTGGTCTGCTGTCAGTCTTGAAGGCAGCCCACCCCACTGCTGGGGAGAGTGCAGTGCAGAGCCGGGAGAGGGATGCTCTGTGCCCAGCGTCTGTGCAGCAGGAGCAGCAGCTGGACCTTGCAGGCACATCTCCCAGTTCTGACAGGGCCTGCACACACACCTCCCTGGCCCAGCCTCTGGGCAGGCAGGAGGTGAGGCGTGGACCACAGGTCCAGCTGGACTGGCCACCCAACCCTCTGCATCTGTACACTGCAGCTAGCTGACCGCCTGCCATTCGCCTGGCCCCTGAGCCCAGGATGCAAGGATGGCCAGCTCAGCTGTGCCCAACCTACCCCTGGGCCCCCCATGCCTGCGTCCCTTCACCCGGGAGTCCCTAGCAGCCATAGAGCAGCGGGCAGTGGAGGAGGAGGCCCGGCTGCAGCGGAATAAGCAGATGGAGATTGAAGAGCCCGAACGGAAGCCACGCAGTGACCTGGAAGCTGGCAAGAACCTGCCACTTATCTATGGGGACCCCCCACCAGAAGTCATTGGCATTCCTCTCGAGGACATAGATCCCTACTACAGTGACAAGAAGGTCTGGGCCTGGGAGGGCTCCCTCTGTCTGTCTGTCCATTGTCCATCTGTGTGTCCCTCAGCCTCACAGGCTCTCTCCTTGTCTCAGACCTTCATCGTGCTCAACAAGGGCAAGGCCATCTTCCGCTTCTCTGCCACACCTGCCCTCTACATGCTGAGTCCATTCAGCGTGGTCAGGCGGGGTGCCATCAAGGTGCTCATCCATTCATATCCTTCATAAGAGGGAGAGGCAGGGAGGTCAGGGCCAGGGAAAATGGGGTGCTCTGAGCCGGGAGACCCTCTGTTGGCTCCTCTTTCCACTTTCCACAGTACTTTCCTTGACACACTCCCACGCTGTTCAGCATGTTCATCATGATCACCATCTTGACCAACTGTGTGTTCATGACCATGAGTGACCCACCTCCCTGGTCCAAGAATGTGGAGTAAGTGCCCCCTGACCCTGAGCCCTGAGACACAGCCCATCCTGGTTGTCTGTACTCTGAGGATGCTTAGTGACTGCTCCTGACTTCTAGGAAAGATGCTAACTGTCCCTGTGACTCTCATCAACTCTTAAACCCTCAGCTGGGAGGTGCACACTCACTTTCCCAGTGTCCTCAGCCCCTGGGTGCATATTTCATCTTCATCTCCGCGGCCCTCCTTCCTAGAAGGTCTGTCATTGTCACATAGGCCCCCGTTCAAGTGACAAGCCTGGCCCTGGCTGGCCCTCTCCCCGCCAGGTACACCTTCACAGGGATCTATACCTTTGAGTCCCTCATCAAGATGCTGGCCCGAGGCTTCTGCATCGATGACTTCACATTCCTCCGAGACCCTTGGAACTGGCTGGACTTCAGTGTCATTCTGATGGCGTGAGCAGGGGCCCACGGGCATCTTCAGTCTGGGGTGGGCAAGAGGAGGAGGCCAGGATTCAAACAGCTGTCAATCCTCTCAAAGGGGTGAGCAGTCAGGGCTGTCGGTTTCTTGTGCAGATAGTGAGCTGCACAGTTCTCAGAGCAGCCATTCCCAGGGTCTGGCTGGGAGGCTCTGCTGAGGCCCCTCTGTGTAGCATGCTTCCCTGCGCATCCACAGCCCCATAGGCTCTCACCCGCTGGGCGTGCTGGGCTACCCATGCCTCTCACACTCCTCAGCAGCAATGCCCTTGCACTATTTCCAATTCTTGGGCCCCCATAGGAATTGGGGGTGTCGGACCTGTCCCCAGTTCCCTGTGGTTAACGCCAACTACAAGGATTCAGGAACCGTTGTTCTGGGTCTGCCCCACCACCCACCTCAGCTCTGATACAGCTCTGTCTCAACCCCCTGTCCCATTCTCCAGGTACGTGACAGAATTTGTGGACTTGGGCAACATCTCAGCCCTGAGGACTTTCCGGGTGCTTCGAGCCCTGAAAACCATCACAGTCATCCCAGGTACTGGGGAGAGGAGGAGATAGGCCTGTCACCATGCTTAGGTCTAATATCTGACACTTGAGTTCTGGGAGCCTGACCCAAGCTTACTCCCAGGCCTGTGTTTGTGTAGGGTGCACACCACAGCCTGGACATAGCGGGGCCCATGTGGCCGGTGGGGAGGAGGAGCCTCCTTCCCAGACTGAGCATTTGAGGGGCAGGATAGTGAGGTGGGCGAGAGCACAGAATCCGGAGCCAGACAGCCCGGGTTGATTTTCTCTATTACTTCCTAACGTTGACCTTAAGCATGTGGCTTAACCCGCTTTTAGCTTGAGTATCCTTATGTGTGAGAACAGTGCTGCTCATTGGGTTGTTATAAGGATTAGACGCCTTAATATCTATGAAGTGCTGAGAGTAGTGTCTGGCCCAGGGGCCGTTATATGTGCCCGAAAGTGAGTGGGGGGCAATTGCGAAGTAATAAATACATCAAGGAACACAACAAAAAATAAAAATTTTTTTAAAAAGCACAACATACAGAGGACCTACTTCTTCCAGCTCCTCAAAACAGCGTGCAGAGGGTTAGTGGTATAGGTCACCTTGGCTAGCGTGAGAGAGGCCCTAGCTCAATCCCAGGCACCATTTTTCAAAAATGCAGAAAAATGAAATATAACCCAAGGAGGAAAGATGATCTAAAAGGAATGGAGAGCACTGCAGCTCTTTTCTAGGCCAGCACCCTCTCCTGGAGTGGAAGAAGATGTGGAAGGGCACTGGATGTGCTCACTCAGGACCTACCTCACTTCACACCGGCCATTGAGTTGAGGTCACCACTCCTTCCTCTGTGTCAGGCTCCAGAATCCTCTGGGCTCCAGAAAGGAGGATGCTGAGCATGTGGTTTCCATATTAGGTTAAGAAAAAGGGAGAAAGACAAAGACACAATAATCAGACCCTAAGAAGAAGTTAGGATTCTTCCACAGATGAGCGTCTGCCCTTGCGAGTCCTACTCCATTCCATCAGAATGCTTTATGTTTTTGTCTGTCCAAAGAGACAAAATGCAATGATGTTTCAGAGTCAGTCTCAAGCTTCTCAGAATGAATCCTGCCGGTCTTTGGGAATTAACAGTCGTTATAAGGAAAAGGATTCTGTTGCAGAGAATTTAAGGAAACATGGCATTAAAGTTTTTGTTTACCTCTGCAGGACTTTGATGGAATTATTTATATAATGGCTTTGTAAGAGAAAACTATAGGCCACGGCCTTTCCCAAATATTATCAAGCCCCTTTCTGAAGGGAGATTAGAGCTCTGCAAAGCACACACTGAGAGTGCTAACCTAGGGACATTTAGTAAACCTCCCCTTATGCTTCTGCATTGCTGTGCAGGTCAGGCAGTAGCCCAGTGAGTTCAAGTTCATTCTCTTAGTGGCAGAGATTCCATGGCAATTCCAAGGCTCCCCATTGCAGTGTGCTCAGAGAAGGTTGGGGTTACTTGGAGAAGACTTTAGCGAAGTGTTGTTACTTAGTCAGTCAAGCCTTGGGATGGAAATGTAGGCAAAGGCTGCGGGAAGGGGCAAGGTGGAGCCCTACCCTTGCCAACACTTTTACCATCTGTGATCAGGGCTGAAGACAATCGTGGGGGCACTGATCCAGTCGGTGAAGAAGCTGTCGGACGTGATGATCCTCACCGTTTTCTGCCTGAGTGTCTTTGCCCTGGTGGGGCTGCAGCTCTTCATGGGAAACCTGAGGCAGAAGTGCGTCCGCTGGCCCCCTCCCTTCAATGATACCAATGCTACGTGGTCTGGCAACGACACGTGGTACGGCACTGACACGTGGTACAGCAACTACACGTGGGGCAGCCACGAGAGCTGGGCCAGCAATTACACCTTCGACTGGGATGCGTACATCAACGATGAAGGTAAGGGCAGAGGCGGGCAGGGAAGGACAGGCCTGTCCCAGCTCTCGGGCAACCCCTGCCTCCATTGCTAATGAGACAGGAACCCAGTAGGGACACGAGCTGAAATCCATCACTTACCAGCTCACACGGAACCTCTGACTACTCACTCTGTCTATCGTCCCTCTTCCCTAACAGGCCATCTTGTTCTCCTTCATCACACTCCGTGCTCACACCCCAGCAAGGCCATCACCAGGCACCCACACATATTCTGTATTCTGTTCACATACCCAGGCCATGAGCCTCTCCCGCCGCCCCCTCTGTGTGCCAATTCACAAAGGGTCCACAAGGGTTTTCTTGCAACTTGAAAAAGTTACCCTTCTTCAACTCGCCCCTGGACTCTAGCTCCTGATTCTAGTTAGGATCTAGCGCAGGTACATGGTAACCCCATACACATACATACACATCCCTCTGGCTCTCCTGGGAGCCCTTCTGAATCCTGACAACCCTAGTATACACCAAGCTGACTCTAGGAGCTGAGAGCTCCCTGGGTTTTATCTACCCAGAGTCTTTGGAAGTTGGGATTATCAGTAAAGCATCGGGAGGGACCCCCAGGCACAGTCACCTGGCATGTGTGGTGTGCACAGACCTGTCTGCAAGTGTGCAATGAGCACAGGTGCTTGAGTGTGTCCATATGGGTGACACGCCTTATTTGTGACCTCTGACTCCCAAAGGGAACTACTATTTCCTGGAGGGTGCCAACGATGCTCTGCTCTGTGGGAACAGCAGTGATGCTGGGTGAGTGATGCTGGGGGTGGGTGGGGAAAGGAGCCCCAGGGGTCCTGGAGGGTGGGAGCTGATTAGGGATGAGACCTGAGAGTGTGAGGGAAACTCATGGACATGGATGGAAGACTTTCCAGTTTGGGAGACACAGACAGGACTGAGGGGTGTTTTTCCCGTGAGGTCCCTGATGTGTCCCCCAGCTGGAGTCCTCCTCCATCACTGAAGCAAGTACCCTATCCTGTCCCCAGGCACTGTCCTGAGGGTTATGAGTGCATGAAGGCCGGGCGCAACCCCAACTATGGCTACACCAGCTACGACACCTTCAGCTGGGCCTTTCTGGCTCTCTTCCGCCTCATGACACAGGATTACTGGGAGAACCTCTTCCAGCTGGTAAGCTGCCCCATCCTGCCCTTCCACCCACAGTTACCCCCCTTTGTCCCCAGTGTCTCCTCAGGGTCTCTTAGTGTCTGTCTCAGGATGGCTCTCAGCAGGGCCCTCTGCCATACCCCATGAATATTCTTACCATATTTCGGAGACCTCTGACACCAGCCACCTGCCCTTCTTCCCCATCTTTGCTTATAAGTGGAGATCTGAGACAGGACCCAGGCACCTCCAGATCTCACAGAAACCATGGCACCTACTGACCATGTTGGAAACTCGATTTCAGAAAAAGAACATGAAAGCCTCAACTCTGCCCAAACACAATTACAGTTGACCCTCCCTCCAAACCCAGGAGTTCCAAATCTATAGATTCAACCAATTGTGTATTGAAAATATTTGAGAAAAAAAAGTTGTGCCTGTACTAAACAGGTACAGACTTTTCTGGATCATCATTCCCTAAATAATACAGTACAATAGCTATTTTTATAGCACTTACATCACATTGCATATTATAAGTAATCTAGAAATGATTTAAGTTATAAGGAGAATGTGCCTGGTTTGGATGCAAATACAGTATCATCTGATATAAGGCACTTGAGCATTTGCAGATTTTGATATCCAAGAGGCTGCTGGAACCCATTCCACTAGATACCAAGTGCTGCCTATATTTAATGCCTGGTGCTCACAGGGCAGGCAGGTTAAGTGCCATCTGACCGCTTCTAACACCCATGATGTTAACAATAACAGCAGTGACAGTAATAGCCATTTGTCAAGTGCTCACTAGGTACCAGGCTCTGAGACAAAACTAGGATTCAAGCTGGCCCCAAAGCTGGTGTCCAACTTTTTCTATCCTAGATCTCAAGATGCCTAGCTGAAGTCCTTGGGATCTTTGAGGCAGGAATGCATGGGACACCAGAAATGCCTAGGTCCGATGTATATGTTTTAAAACTCCCCAGAATGTGCTTCAGAAGCGCTCAGATCCCCAGGCTCTGTAGGGACCCTTGTCACTTATTTGACTGGGTGATGCATGTGCGGAGGGGTGAGTAGGTGCCATGGGACTCCCTCCTTTCCCCACTCCAGACTCTTCGAGCAGCAGGCAAGACCTACATGATCTTCTTTGTGGTCATCATCTTCCTGGGCTCCTTCTATCTCATCAATCTGATCCTGGCAGTGGTGGCCATGGCATATGCTGAGCAGAATGAGGCCACCTTAGCCGAAGATCAGGAGAAAGAGGAGGAGTTTCAGCAGATGCTTGAGAAATTCAAAAAGCAGCAGGAGGAGCAGGAGAAAGTATGGATCTTGGGGGAGGGGTTAAGGACCCAGAGGGCCCCCTGCCCTCGGCCTGGGCTGCCTGACAACTGGGTTCTCCTGGGGAGGCTGAGGGAGAGCTATGGGAAAGAGCAGGCCCCAGACCAAGGGCTTTGGTGGAACGGGTGCCAGGAAGTACAGTGGATCCTCCAATTACAACAGGCCTGACATACAAACAACTTGACTGAAATTTTAGTTTATGACCAAAGTCTTCAGTTATGACCCAAAGACCAGCTACTTATGCTTCCAGATGGTCTCTGATACAGATTTAACCTTTAAAGAGTATTGAACATTACAACCTCCTTTCTTGTACTGGGTTAACTGAGAAATCCTGAGCTAATGTCTCTTGAAGGACACCGAACTCTGCCTGTGTACAGGAGAGAGACTTGGAAGGCTGTGTAGAGGAGCCTGAGCCTTCCACTGACAACTCGAGTTACAACCAGCCCTCAGGAATGAGTTGAATTTGTAAGGCAAGGGTCCACTGGACAGGGTCCACTCTACCTTGTGCCTCAGTTTCCTCATCAGTAATAAGGAACGTTCAGTAGCGAAACCGGAAAGGCCCACCGGCTCACAGACCTGTGGTTTCGTGCTTCTTTCCAGGTGCTTGCTGAGGGAGGCGCAGGTCCCCATCCAACTGCAGGGCGCAGTTGCCCATTTTCTCCATCTCATGAAGTATAGAGTCAGTCAGGGCCTCAGACAGTTGAGGGTCTTCAGGGATGACAGTTCATAGTCACTTGGTCCTGAACAAGTTACCTGATCCCACTGAGCCCCTTCCCCCCATGCACAAGCCAAGCAGGGGATTATCATCCTGAAGGACTCAGCGAGAGGCTGTGAGAGCCAATGAGACCATCCTCCTGACTCAGAGCTGGACCTCACACCTATCACCCCACAGGCCAAGGCTGCCCAGGCTCTGGAAGGTGTGGGGGCAGATGGAGACCTGGCTCATGGCAAAGACTGCAATGGCAGCCTGGACACGTCTGGGGAGAAGGGACCCCCAAGGCCGAGCTGTAGCGCAGAAAGTGCCATCTCGGATGCTATGGAGGGTGAGTGCCCTGCACCCCATACTTCTACTCTGCCTGCCCCCCAGCCTCCTTAGAGGTAGGATGGTGCCCGGCTAGATTCAGCTTCAGAAGGGCAGTAACTTAATATTGGCATTGAAGAAATGTGCTGTGATAAATATAGTCCTGTTTTAACCTGGCCCAGTTCTGACTGCAAGGCCAGGCGGCTGTAGGAACTGGGGGCTTCCGGGAGGGCCTTGGGGACTGCCAAGGCAACGGGGTAGGACAGGCTAATAATACTAACCAGGAAGGCTGGCTGTTCCGGAAACTGGAGATCCTGCTGCTCCTTCGGTGTTATTTGGGTAAAAGTTGAAAGTCAAAAACCCCGTTGCCTAGGTAAAATCATAAACTACTCCCAAGCCCTACTCACCATGTCCCAGGATACAGTAACGAAGGAAGGGTGGACGGGTGGTAGGTAGAGGGATGGATGGGCTGAAAGATTACTGAATAAAAAGAGATAGATGGGGTAATTGATGCGTGCACTTTGACCTGGAGAGAAGCAGTCTGACCCCTCCCTAGTTGAACTAGCCTTGAGCTGAAAACCAGGATTTGGGGACCTTCAGGACTTTGCAAACCCCTCCAGAGCACCATCTTACCTGACCTTGCATGATGCAGTCAGATAGCTGTGTGCCCTGCCAGAAAATGTTCCAAGAAGCCCTGGCCCCTCACCCCTGCCCTTCCTCTGTATGGGAAATTTTAGGCCTCAGACTGGGGCATGTCGGCCTCATGGTGGTGGGGCTGGGGGCAGGGAGGTCATGGTCAGATTAGAATCACAGGAGATCTTTGAGAAAGGTGCAGTTTTCCGCCTCCTGGGCAGAGTTGGGGTCATACCCACTGTTTCAGGTGGCTGCCAGTCGTTCCAGTCCCTTTTAGTTGTCTACAAAATGGGTGGCACTAATGTATTCACCTTATAACTTTCTGGTAATAAAATCAATGAGACCAGGCCTAGTCTAGGCCACTCCCATTGGCCTAAGAGGCCAGGCAGAGAAGCAGCCGCATTCCATGGTCCTGACAGAGCCTCAAGGTGACAAGTTCAGCGGGTGTTTCCAGAAAGCCACTCTGGAAGAAAAGAGGGTCTGCCTAGGGACAGTCTGGGGGAGCTGGCAATCCTGGCAGCAGGAGGAACAATCTTCAGGGGGGTCTCGGTCTATTCCTAAGGAGCTTGTGAGCCAGAGACCTGACCCCAAACGTGAGCTCTCTCCTTTCCCTGAGGCCTCTGGAATCCAGCCAGAATCAGGGCTGGCAGAGGTCCCAGTGAGCCAGAGCTCACCACCCAGGGCTTTCAGTGGTGTGCCAAGTAGGTGGGGCTTGAAAGAGAGCATCAAAGCAGGGCTTGGGTGAGGCTTCCAGAGGAGGAGGAGGTGGAGGCCCTTGAAAGGGCGTGGCTACCAGAGCAGGATTAGGGTGGGGCACTCAGGGGGAGTTTTAGGGACAGGCTTTGAGAGTGACACTGAGAGGGGCTTGGAGAAGCCTTATGAAAGAGGGTGGGCTTGTGAGATTCAGAGCCCAGAGGACCAGGATTTTCAGGCGTGAGGCTGTGTGGAGTTTATAAGAGAGATTACAATGAAAGTAGCAAATCTGGAGTAAACTGTGTTAGCTTTCCCTCACTGGGGCAAAGTACCTGACATAAACAATTCAAAAGAAGAAAGTGTTGTTACTGCTGTTGCCGCTGCTGTTGTTGTTGTTTGGGAGAGTGTTTGTTTGGCTGGTTGTTTATTTGTTTAGTTGATTGGGTTTTAGAGATAGGTTCTCAGTAGGTAGTCCAAGCCTTGAACTCACTGTGTAGCCTAGGGAGGCCTTGGACTCACTATCCTCTTGCCTCAGCCTCTTGAGTTCCTGAGATGTTTGCCACCATGAAGCAAGTTTTATTTGGGTTCATGGTTTCATGGAACCATTTTGGCTGGTTCCATGGCTTGTGCCTGAGGAGAGGCAGACTCATGGCAGAGCAAAGTTCCTTACCTCACAGCAGCACACACACACCATGACCTGCTTCCTTCAGTCGCTCGGGCCTTCTAACAACCCAGTCAGCTGATGAACTCTTCAATGACTTAATAGCTTAACCCATCGATGAGTGCCCTCCTGATCCAGTCACCTCTCTAGGCTTCACCCCTAAACACTGCCACATTGGGGATCGAACCTTTGATATGTGAGGCTCTCGGAGATACTTTATAAACCACAACATAGGCCTCCCTAGCAGTTGGAATGTTGAGAGGTGGAGCATGGAAGGAGGGGCCAGAGAGAAATTCTCATCAGGTTCCTGTCCCAACCTTGCTCTTAGAGCTGGAAGAGGCCCACCAGAAGTGCCCACCATGGTGGTACAAATGTGCGCACACAGTGCTCATATGGAACTGCTGTGTGCCATGGGTGAAGTTCAAACACATCATCTACCTGATCGTCATGGACCCCTTCGTGGACCTGGGCATCACCATCTGCATCGTGCTCAACACCCTCTTCATGGCCATGGAGCATTATCCTATGACTGAGCAGTTTGACAATGTGCTCTCCGTGGGCAATCTGGTAGGGAATCACAAGAGAAGAGGGTGGTCATTCGGGGCAGAGTGGAGGGGGCAGCAGGATCAAGGGGGCTCTTTGGGTTGTATGCAAACATGGGGCACCACAGAGGGCACCTGGGGACAGCTGGGGTTTTCCTAGCATCTGAGGAGTGTGAATTGTACAAGGGAGGTACATGAAGTAGAACCGTGAGACTAGAGTTTGAGACTAGAGTTTAGGGTATTTGGGGACACAGAGAATGAGTTGAGGTGCTAGTCTCTTGGGGAGCTGAGATTCAAGCCAGCCCTAGAAATGAGGGCTAAAATAGGGAAGTGGGGCATGGACACTGGGTGGAGGGTGGGTGATAGGTTTCTCCATCTTTGTCGGTTGTCACAGGCCTGGAAGGGACCAAGGGACCTGACAGTGGAGGCATATGCCCACAGGCGACCATGTCGGAGAGGTCCCAGCTCTCCGGAGCCCCCAGGGAATAGTGCCCCCTCATTTCTCCAGCCTGGCCAGGCCCTCCCTGTCCCAGCTCTTTGCTGCTCCGCTATTGTTGACATGCACTGATCCGCTTGCTTATCCCTGCCCATTAGGAGCATTATCACCTCGTTGCCAGCCCCAGTGGAGCCTGACAAAGGAAAAGCCGCTGCCTCCTCCAGCCCCACCCCAGTCTTCCCAATCCCATTTGCAATTTTTCAGGATGCAAAATGGGGGAGATGCTCCCCCAACCCCAAGGGAATGGCAAACTCAGGGAGAGTAAGGTGGGGCTGGGGCAGGACCAAGACTGGATGAGTGGCACAAAAATCAGGCTCTGGACTCTCCAGCCCTCAAAGCAGGCACATTATCTCAGGGAGATACCCAGGGTAGCCACGGCCAGGCTGGCCCAGAAGGCCAAGGGCGTGCTCTGGGCTCAGGGCACAGCTGCTAGAGTGTGCATGATGGGCAGGGCCCACGGCCTGCCCACTCCCTACCCACACTATGCGGCAGTCTGGGCACCTGCTATGGTCAGGGACAGCTCCTGGGAGGGGCTCAGCATGTGCCCAGGCAGACTGTGACCCCAGGGCAGCTGGTGCCTGGCAGGATGGGGACCACACCCATGGAGCTCTTAGAGGCCATTCGACCCCTAGAATCAGCGAGGCAACTCTGGCTTTTTTCTCACTGATTTTATCCATTTGGACCCCTGCTCTGCTCTGAGTCCACCAAGATTGACTGGGTTCTAGGACTGGACCCAGTAGAGAGTCTTGGGGTGCAGAGGAAGAGCCTGAGCTGAGGCCAGGGATCAGCAAGCGGAGCTCAGCCCCAGTACGGAGGAATGGGACTGAGCACTGGCCGCTGGCCTCTGTGAGCCTCCCTGCTTGCCTGTGAAACAGCATGATAATCCCTCCTAACTCTGTGGAGATGAGGAAATCAGTAAGGTCACAATGTAGACCAGGGTGTGCACCATGAATGCTGAATATTATGACTGGGTCAGGACCCATGAAGTTAAGTGACTTGCCCGCAGTCACAAGGCCAGAAATGGATGGGAAGAGGTCTCTGTGTTGTACCCCCCTGTGTCTATGGTATAGACCTTGCATCTGTCACTCAAATACATACACGTGGGCCACGAGTATCCCTCCTTCCCTCTCTCAGGGCTTGAACCACTTCACCCTAGTTTCCAAAGTCTCTGCCAAAAGGTGGAAGAGGGCAGGAGACTCCCAAGGTCCTGTGCCCCCTGAGGCTCAGTGACAGGACCCCACCCACCCACAGGTCTTCACGGGCATCTTCACAGCTGAGATGGTGCTGAAGCTAATCGCCTTGGACCCCTACGAGTATTTCCAGCAGGGCTGGAACATCTTCGACAGCATCATTGTCACCCTCAGCCTGGTGGAGCTGGGCCTGGCCAACGTGCAGGGGCTGTCTGTGCTCCGCTCCTTCCGTCTGGTATGAGGGACCCACAGGGCCAGGGGCTAAGGAGGAGGGGCCACAGAGCTAGAGATGAGCCTCTCTGCCCTGTGCCTACCAGTTGGCCTCTCTGAATCTTGCTTATCTGTAAACAACGTGAGAGGAAGTCCTCCCTCCCTATCAGGTAGCTATCAAGAGCTGACATCGATGACCAAGGGTAGCAGCAGAGCTGGGACTTCAGTGCTGTGTCACAGGCTTAAAAACAAAGGCTCAGCAGCTCATAGTGTCCAAGTGGAACTTCAGAGTCTGTCTTTCCTCTACCCCATAGGGATTACATACAGTATTTGTAAAAATTTTATAATGAGAGGCTGGCGATTTAGCTCAGTGGCATAAGCGCCTGTCTTACAAGTGTGCAGTCGTGAGTTCGACTCCCAGTACCAGAAAAAAAATTTATTATGAGAACTTCCATGCATATTTTAAAAAAGACAAAGGACACAGGTACCTACCAGCCAACTCTAACACCTTTTGTTTCACCCTCCCCCATTTTTATTGGGGAGACGGGGCGGGGGCATGTTAAAGCACAGCTGACTTTCCATCTCACTTGTAAATGCCTTAGTCTGTAGCCTTTACAGAGAAGGGTTTTTTAAAATACATCGATAGCAGGGGTGGTAGGAAATAAATAGCTCCCTTTAACAGAGGCCAACTGAGGCTCCAGATCACTCAGAGTTGGGGTTTCAGGCTATTCCAAGGTGATATTTCTCCTGAGGCCTTCATTCAGGGAGTCCCGGGCCTTATGTACCCTCCTGGCTCTCCCCAGCTCCGGGTCTTCAAACTGGCTAAGTCATGGCCAACGCTCAACATGCTCATCAAGATCATCGGTAACTCAGTGGGGGCCCTGGGCAACCTCACGCTGGTGCTGGCCATCATCGTGTTCATCTTCGCCGTGGTGGGCATGCAGCTGTTTGGCAAGAGCTACAAGGAGTGCGTGTGTAAGATCGCCTCGGACTGCAACCTGCCACGCTGGCACATGCACGATTTCTTCCACTCCTTCCTCATCGTCTTCCGCATCCTGTGTGGGGAGTGGATCGAGACCATGTGGGACTGCATGGAGGTGGCCGGCCAGGCCATGTGCCTCACCGTCTTCCTCATGGTCATGGTCATCGGTAACCTGGTGGTGAGTGAGACTGGCCAAGTGGCTTCCCCGTCTTCACCCAAAAAGTGCACGCACGAGGTGTGTCCCTCTCTCCTCTCTGCATCAGACTGCATTGGAGGGCCTTGTTCCTAGTAGGCGAAACTATAGGGCACTGCTGGTATTTGACTATTTTTTGCTTCCCAGTCCCCCTCTCAATGACAATGGCAATTTATATAAAACTGCTTAAGAATAATTGGGGAGGTGGGGTGGGCTGGGGATTTAGCTCAGTGGCATAAGCACCTGCCTTGCAAGCAGGTAGTCCTGAGTTCGATCCCTGGTATCGATAAAAAAAAAAAAAGAATCATCGGGGAATAAGCTAGGTGTGGTAACCATACCTGTAAGCTCAGCATTAGGGTGGTTGAGGCAGGAGGATCACTTTGAGTTCAAGGCCAATCTGGGCTACAAAGTGAGTTCAAGGCCAGCCTGAACTGCATAGTGAAACCCTGTCTCAAAAACACAAGCTCTAAGCTTGGCCTGGGAAATCAAGGTGTAGGTAGTATGTTGTGGAAAGTCGCAGGATAATGAATAAGACAGATCTGCATTACAATCCCAGCTCCCACTGGAGCTGTCACCCTGAACTCGTAACCACCTGTAGTCTATCGCACAGGAGAAACACAATAGGCGCCTCATGAGCCAGGTGTGACAGACACTGAAATTCCTGCACTCAAGGGGCCGAGACAGGAGATTTGAGTTCAAGACTCACCTGGGTGATATAGCAAGACCCTCAAAAAAACAAAAAATGGAAACAAACAGTACGTCATGATTGTGTGGGAAGACCAGCCTTAGCACACAGAAGGTCGCTGTGTGGAGTGGGACTGGAACCTCTCGCCTCTTGGTTTTCTCCTACCCTTTTTAGCTTCCTGTGATCCTGGGCTTGTGAGTCCAGGCTTTGGAAAAAAGAATTAAGTCCCAGTGTTGGGCGAATCCAGGGGTGACATCCAGAGCTCCATTCATTCGTCCCCTTTGTGTACCCTGGGCGCAGTGCATGAGGCTCTACAGCAGAGGTGGGCCAGTGAGGAGGGGGCAGGCTCTAGGGGCGCCCCCCAACCCTGCTAGCATTTTTGTGGCTGGGCTCATGGATGTATCTCTCTTAACCATATCAACTATGACTCTTCCCCCTCCTTTGTGGGGTGGGAATTGGGGAGTCACTGTGTTGGTGTCCTGGAGTGCTGGGCCCAGCTACCCCATGGTAGCCAGCACTGGCCTGGGCAACAGGGGGTGGAGGACACATGAAAGTCCCCACGTTCCGCAAGGGCTTGTGGAATCCTTGGGCTGCTGGGTCAGCGCTTCTCAGATATCGCTGAGCTCTGGCCGGGGGCAGGGGCAGTGGGGGGTGGGAGTGTCACCTCAGCTGAAGGAGAAAACCATGGGACAGCTACAGAAGAGGGCCCAGGTCCACTGTCCCTGAGACAGTGGCGTCCGAGGGAGTGGAGAGAGATGGGAAGGTGCTCAGGCCGAACTTTGGGGCAGGGTCTCAGGCCCTGAGTAGAAGTTGGGGGATATAAGTTTGCAAGTGACCAAAAGAATTATAGGGGGTTTCCATCTCTATGAACGTGCTCACTGGGAGAATTTGAGCAGGAAATTTAGCCTTGTGGGTCTTGGTTTTCTCATCTGGAAAACAGGGATGCTAATTCTTGCCATGCTGACCCTGAGAAGTCATGAGGATTACATAATGTGTCCAGTACTTAGCAAAGCACTTGGTACATGAGCCCAGGAGAGGCGAGATAGTCCAGGAAAATGGTTTTGTGTTAAAAATTGTTGTAATAAACTTGGTAGCTTCTAAAATTGATGAGACACCCTTGCGGGAGGTAGAAAAGGGGGACAATGGTATTAGCCTTTTGCAAAATACTCCTGTGTCAGTTTTGGGCTTCTGCCATGTGCCTGGCTTTCCGTGTATTATCTCCAATCCTCCCAGAAACCCTCTGAGGCAGGGAATGCTGCTTCCATAGCCTGAGGGAGGCACTGCCAACGCCGTGTGGCTGGCTGGTGAGAAACCAACCCGGGGCTAGCGCTTGGATCTGTGACTCCAGTAACCACGCCACCCATGAGAGCGTCAGGTGTAACACAGATCACCTCAACACCAGCAGCGAGGCGGGCCGTGCAGGGCATTTACTCAGTCTCTCCCGGCGCTCTGAGTATGTGGTCTGGGTTTGCTCACTCAGTCCTACAACCCATCCGTGGGCTGCACTGGTTTGTCTGTTTCCTACCTGAGGTAAATTAGTGATGGATGCAGGATTTGAGCCCACAGGATCTGGCTCCAGAGAGTCTGCAACCATTGGGCACACTGCCTGTTTGCCGTCACTGTCCCCACTCAAACGCAGGTACGTGTGCACGCATGCGTACACCACACACACACACACACACACACACGGAGGCATTTTTTTCCCCAGCCCAGCTCTGTGGCTCTTTCAATTTGCTCAGAGGGAGCAGAGTGGCCCAGGGAAGCAGCACAGTCAGCTCCTTGGGCACTGTGTCCTCTCATCCTCCTCCCCAGGCTTCGGAGAAGCAGGTGTCTGCCAGTGGGCACCAGGCCACCCTTCCAAGTAATGTGGGGACCCACGCCCCCTGCATCCATGATACTTGGTCACTTCCACCGGGCTATGATAAAGAAGGGGGAGTGATTGGGTCATAGGCAACCCGCCCTCCAGAGCCCCCAAGGGAACATGACCTCCATCTCCCTCTTCTCCTTTACCCCCCCCTTTGCCCGAAGAGGCTATTTCTGGCCCAGGCAGGAGCCGTGTGCAAACCCTGCTGACCCAGAGAGCAGCTAATTCCCATCTCAGATGTGTTTCTGGCAACTGGATGCCTCCCTCCCAAAGAGGGAGAAGGAAGACTAATAAATGTGGGTGGAGCCAAGGCAGAAAGGGAACTAGAGGACACGGTGTGGGTGTGAGCCCCCCAGCAGTTCTCTCAGAGAGGGTTTAATATATTATTTTAAAGGTACTGAATTAACATGAGAGCTAAGACAATGACAAAAAGACCTTGAAAAACACTGGTCAAGCCAGCGAGTGAGGCGCATGGAAAGGAGGGTCAAGGGCATAGCCTTTCACATGCAGATCCCTGGTCAATCATGTCCACTCACAGGGGTTGGGAGTGAGAACCAGGCTGTGCCTCTGGCTGACAGGGGCCAGAGCCCCCTCCCCACCAGCTTCACCTTTTTCCCACCATCCAGCCACTCGTGGGTGGTAGAAGGAATCACTACTATCCTGGGGACCCCTGGGATGCCATTCCCACTGTAGCTTAAAGCAAATTGTGCCCCCTAAAAATGTCCAATGACCAGAAGCCTGGGTTCCAATTCTGATGGTGTTGTCTGTCATAGAGCAAATCACTCTATCTTTCTGGGACTTGATTTCCTCATCTATAAAATGGGAGTTCACCACACTCTTTACTGTACCTTGTGCAGTGTTCTGTTGCACACTTAATACCAACCAACCTGTTCTGAGCAGCTGTCCACGTATCAGTCTTTTGATTGTCACAACAGTATGAGGAGTGCTGAAATCATTCCCATTTAACAGGTGAGGAAACTGAGGCACAGAGCAGTGAAGCAACTTGCCTCAGGATACACAGCTAGTAAACTGGGGTTTAGAGCCAAGCCTGGGCATCCTGTTCTGGTGTTTTTTTGGTTTTTTTGGTACTAGGGATCGAACTCACAACCTAGAGCTTGCCAGACAGGCACTTACGCTGCTGAGCTAAATCCCTGGCTCTTCCTGTTCTGAATTGTCCCATAAGGCCGCAGTATTGTATTTGTCTGATCACACATCTGTTTCCTCTAGGCTGTGGGCTCCTAAGGCTACTTGTTCCCCAGAAGTGGCAGGAACTCAGTAATTGTCTGTCCACTGGAAAATACAGTATGGGGAGGAGATGGGAGGAAAGTAAGCAGTCACCTGGTTAGTCTCTGTCAGTAGAGATGAGGGAAGGTAACCAGGAGTAAGTGGGGTAGGGAGCCCCAAGGGGAGAAAGAGATGGATAGCTGTGATTTCAGTGCCCCTTCCAGAGCAACAGGGGACAGAGCTAAGCACAGGATCTATTAGAGGTCTCACTTAATAAGTGAGGGGAAAAGGCTCACAGATTAGGGGGTCCAATAAATCCTAGAGACTTGAGCCCTGTTCTTTGTTCTGCATCCCCTGACAGTGGAGGTAGAGGACAGAGTCACTGAAAGTTTCCTTGTCACCCAGCGTGCCTCCCCAGAGCTTGCTACTGCTTTGGGCTGCTGTACTCACAAGCCTCAGTTCCCAGATCTGCAAAGTGGGACGGTAATAACAATGCCTGGTCGACAAGCAGTCTCACTCAGACATCCCATTAGGTGATGTCCTTTTGTTTAAATGCCCACATGCTTGCTGAAGCTGGCACCCCAGGGGCCCAGAGGCTGCTCTGAGCCTCTCTCTGCCCTTGTTTGCCAGGTCCTGAACCTGTTTCTGGCCCTCCTGCTAAGCTCCTTCAGTGCCGACAGCCTGGCAGCCTCAGACGAGGATGGTGAGATGAACAACCTGCAGATCGCTATCGGGCGCATCAGATGGGGCATCGGCTTTGCTAAGGCCTTCCTCTGGGGGCTGCTGCACGGCAAAATCCTGAGCCCCAACGAGATAATGCTCAGCCTCGGAGAGCCGGGGGGTACTGGAGAGGCTGGAGAGGCGGGGGAGAGTGCCCCTGAGGATGAGAAGAAGGAGCCACCCCCTGAGGAAGAGGACAAGGACCTGAAGAAGGACAATCACATCCTGAACCATGTGGGCCTGGCCAATGGCTCTCCCTCCACCATCGAGCTAGACCACCTCAATTTCATCAACAACCCCTACCTGACCATTCAGGTGCCCATTGCCTCTGAGGAGTCCGACCTAGAGATGCCAACCGAGGAGGAAACCGACACATTTTCGGAACCTGAGGATGGCAAGGTGAGCTTATCCAGAGTCTGGCTGGCTGGAGGGGCTGGTGGCAAGACAAATCTGGCTTCAAATTCTTGTGTGACCTTGAGCAGGTCACAAATCCTCTTTAACTCTCAGTTTCTCCATGTGTAAAATGGGGCAATGATACCCATCCCATAGCACTGACGTTAGTGTTACATGATGCGCTATGCACAGAGTTCTGTGAAAAAGATGATTATTATCAACCAGGCTTGGCCCTCTTACCAGCAGGTGGCGCTCTCGGACAGGCTGATTTACCGGTGGTGCCAGCTCTAGGATCGGCACCCAAGAGGCCTCTCTTAAATCCCCCTCGGAGTTTGAAGACTTTGACAAGTCCTTGCCACAATCATCTGTTTCTGCTTAGACCCCCACCTGGAACTGGTACCAATATTCCAAGGTGTCAGGTCCAGGCAGAGGCTCTGAGGAGAGGAGCTGTAGGGCCAACAGAATCTGGGACAAAGACAACCCAGAGTCACATACGCAGCTTGCTGCTGGGCCATGGTGCCCCTCCTCTGCCCTTCTCTTGCAAGACTGGAGAGGGGACTAAAACATAGGTGGCAGTTACCCCAGAGGCCAGGGCTGAGGCTTGGGACCCTGCCTGGGCCTCCCAGGGGCACTGACACCGAGGCCCCCTTACGTACTCTGTAGCCCTGTCAGGGAAGACTAGCACATGAGGGAGGCCAGGGCCTCTGTTGGCCCTGTACGCCAGCCCTGAGCCTAGTTGGGCACTGGAGCCTAATCAGCCTAGCCCGTGAAGCTCTTGACTTCTTATTCTCCCCAAATATGTGACATGTTGACTTACCAGGAGACCGAGTGCCTGCTGAGCTATAAATACCCCAGGCAATGTGGCACCAGACCTGGACCTCGATATGAAGAACTTGATGGGGGAGGAGCTAAGAACACCAGGTCAAAGCCCTGGGAGAGGAGTGGGACTGGGGACTCTTTAAAGGGAAGTAGGCAGAGCACAAGGGGCATTATGGGAGTTGAGGCACACGGTGAGACAAGTATTTCGGCTGATACTGTGACTGACCTACCACTACCTCAGTTTCCCTTTCTGTCAACTGGAAATAAGACTCAGCTATCCTTGGTTTTCTGGTCACTGCAGTGGCTGCAGAGTGGCCCTCACCACACCCGCCATCAAGCTGCCCAATCCACCTTCCTCTTCAGGGGCCTCACCCCAGCCGTGCAGGGTCTCATTGCAGAGTGAAGGCCAGGTCTGAGAAGCTGCCCTGGACAGCAGCGCCAGGAGGAGGCGGGAGGAGGCCCGGCCAGCACAGAGCCACAGCCCCACCCCCACTCCGATCAAGTTCCCTCGGCATCCAACTGGAGCTTTAGTGGGGGGGGAATTTTCCATCCTTTTTGGATCCTTCGGCCAAACAGGTCCTGGAGGTGGAGGGCTAGGATTCTGGGGGCACTGTAGACCTGTTTTGTGTGGGCTGTGGCACCCACCTCCGCCATGATCTCTTCTTTTAGCTCGGTACCTTGAAAAGTCCTTACAGGCCTTTGTGCAACGCTGGCTCCCTGCATCCCCCCAGATCCCCTGGCCTGCTGAGCCTGATTCTTTTTTTTTTTTTTTTGAGCCTGATTCTTGTTCAGCCTTCTCCTCTACCTGAGGCCCCTTCCCAGGCCTCACATGCCATGAGGGAAGGCCAGAGGCCACCCTTGGCCCTGTGGCCCTCCTGCAGGAGGCGCAGCACTGGGTCAGTCTCCCAGAGCTGAGTGAATGAATGAAGGCACAAACCTCCTCCATCCTTGTCTCCTTTCCCTCTGGTCTCCCATCCTGCCCCACAAGGTAGAAGGATGAGGGGGTCTTTGGGGGCCCATGGGTCACATGCTCCTGTGGCCCCTGCAGAAACCGCTGCAGCCCCTCTACGATGGGAACTCCTCCGTCTGCAGTACTGCTGATTACAAACCCCCCGAGGAGGACCCCGAGGAGCAGGCTGAGGAGAACCCTGAGGGGGAGCAGCCTGAGGAGTGCTTCACCGAAGGTAAGGACGTGCCCGAGGGCAGTACCCTTACTTGGCCTGGGCAGCTCCCCCACCCCAGTGTCCCTGTAAGAGGCAGGCTGTGCCAGGGCTGGAGAAGGCTGTGCAAAGACAGGTGGCCTTCCTCCCTGCCTCACCCTGGGTGTGAACCAGCTCCTGAGCCTCGGGCCTCAGAAGACAGCCCTGTGTTTACAAGGCTGAGCTGAGTGACCTGCCTGGGCGAGGTAGGGACGGGGACAGCTGGTCTGAGCCTCTTTCCTCCATCCTCCCCTGGCAGGGGTGACACATAGATGGAGTAGGCTATGGACCAGGGACCTGAGTCCCCCACTTGAACCACACAGAGCCAGATGTGGAAGAAAGGGCCTGGGACTGGGGAGCAGTGAGGTGAGGGATGTGGTGGGGTGGCCACATGACAGCATGCCCACCCTGTCCCCCAGCCTGTGTGCAGCGCTTCCCCTGCCTCTACGTGGACATCTCTCAGGGCCGCGGGAAGATGTGGTGGACACTGCGCAGGGCCTGCTTCAAGATTGTTGAACACAACTGGTTTGAGACCTTCATTGTCTTCATGATCTTGCTCAGCAGTGGGGCCCTGGTAAGCACCACCCCAGGGGACAGGGCAGGTACAGACCCAGGCCCAAGACCAAAAGGAGTTCCCCCCCCAGGGCTCCTTCCCAGGGATGGACATGGCCCAGATGGTCCCAAACTCAGAGTTGTGAGGAGGACTCACGCGTGCCTCCAGGATGTGTTTTAGAATGTATTCGCTTCTTAAAGTGACAGATGGGTTCCCCAGGCTCCCTGGGCTCTAACTGTGTAAACTTCTGGCTACTGAGGAGGTAGGTGGGCTCCCCCCCAAGAATTTTGGGTTAAGATCAGGGCAGATTTGAAGATGCATCACTGTGGAAAACTCCCAGCAGACGACTTAGGATCAAGATTCCTTCCCTTCAGGAAATTTGCTCCTCTCTATGCTGGGAAGGACCCCTAGGAGCCAGTATCATGGGGCAGGGTATGGGACATGGCTGATGCCCCAACCTCTAGCCCCCTGGCCACCCTTGTGTCACGCCGGTATCCCCCAGGCCTTTGAAGACATCTACATCGAGCAGCGACGAGTCATCCGCACCATCCTAGAATACGCTGATAAGGTCTTCACCTACATTTTCATTATGGAGATGCTGCTCAAATGGGTGGCATACGGCTTCAAGGTGTACTTCACCAACGCCTGGTGCTGGCTCGATTTCCTCATTGTGGATGTGAGTTTGCCAGCCCTTTCCCCTCAGCCAGATGCCGAGGCTATTGTGACTGTGTACCTTTAGAAGCTCAGGCCTTGGGATTTACCCACAGCTCTAGGAGTCAGACCCCTAGATCAGTATCAGTCCCTGCTATGACCACCTTCCTGCTTCTCAGATACAGCTTGCGAAGAGGAAAAATAAAAGACCACATTTCCCATGCCAGTGTGGGGAGGATTCTCATATCCGCTTTGATAGGTGTCCAGGCTCATGAGCGAGATGGGCATCAGTCTCTCTCATCTGTTGTCATCCCCAGTTGCCAGTGACATCACTGAGGTAGTAGGCAGACTCCAGAGATTCTGGGGCAGGACTCGGGCTGTTCTTCCCACCAGATGGGGCTGCTCATTAGGGAGGGGATCCAGGGAGCTGTGGGTGCAGGAAGATGCTGCCTCAAGGATAGGTCTGTTTCTGGGGACTGTGGTCCAACTTGAAGGAGTCTAAGGATCCTGTACTCACTGACCACACCCATCCCTTTTTGCAGGTCTCCATCATCAGCCTGGTAGCCAACTGGCTGGGCTACTCTGAGCTGGGACCCATCAAATCCCTGAGAACGCTTCGAGCCCTGCGACCCTTGAGGGCACTGTCTCGATTCGAGGGCATGAGGGTGGGTACTAAGGGGACCCCTGAGGAAGGCTACAGATGGGGGAGCAGCCACCCACAGTGCAGGGTGGAGAAGCGCATGTCTGTATTCTAACAGCCAATAGGGCTTGATATGCTTTGGCCAGACTGGGAACCTGGAGCAATCTGCGGCCCATCCCTGGCCGGCCCCATTCATTGTCATGAAGACAATGAAGGTCTCTGCTGCTGCAGTGCACAGAGGGCTCTGCAGGGAGAAGAGTCTGAAGGCCAGCAGCCCAGGGATTCATAGGTGACCGTCTCTCCCTACCTCAGACTGCCCCCCTGGGGGAGGGGGCTGAAATCTGAGACGGGGTGAGGGAGTTTGTGCTCCCCTTCTGAGCCTGGCCCCCTTGACCCTGGTGGTTATATCTTTGAACTTGAGGACAGTTTATAGAAGATCCCCTCAGGCCCTTGAGAAGGGAAGTAACAGGTAAACACAGTGGGCGAGACTGACGGGACTTCCCTAGTGACAGGAAGGAACAAGACTCAGTCCACAGAGACCTTAAGAATGGACTGGCTTGCGGGCAAGAGGCAGGTTGGCCCCAATGGCTCCCTCTTGTTGGAGCAAGTGGCCTGCAGGACTAAGCCTGCCCACCCTCTGGGTTGGGAACCTCACCCTACTAAGGAGACATAACCTGCCCATGGCCACACAGCTGGGCATTAGCCCAAGAGAAGCAGAGCTGGACTCCGTAGTCTTCTGCCATCTATTTTCTGCAGGTCAAGGAACAGGCCCTCAAAAGGGGACAATTCTCAAACTCATCCCAGGCTCAAACAGTTTGGTAGGACCGGTGACCAGGGATAGTGGCACCAGGGGTCTGGCCCTGGAATCGTGCTGTTTCAGAGACCCCAGTGGCCTCTTTCTTGTGTCTTTTCTGTGTGTGTCACTAATTATGTGAGCCAGTGAGCGAGGACCGAGTCACATGGGCTGAGTTTCCTACGGGGGCCGAGGAAAGAATGTTTGTCTCCTGCCTGGTGGCCCGTGACAGGGCCGCTTCCAGAGAAGCCCAGTGCCCCCATTCTGGCCTGATGGCTCCAGCCAAGCAGAGAGCCCTGCTCAACCACCAGGCCAGCAGTTCCCCATCCCTAGCCCTGCCATCCCCACCCCCACCCCCATGTTTACCCCAGCCAACAGCTTGTCCCCACCAGGCCTCACTCAGAATGACCGCCCTCCAAAAGCCCCTTCCCGAGGCCCTCGGGTTAGTGCGCATCTGAGGGCCACAGCAGTGACCCGCCGCTGGCCCCCAGGTGGTGGTGAACGCCCTCCTGGGAGCCATCCCTTCCATCATGAACGTGCTGCTTGTCTGCCTCATCTTCTGGCTCATCTTCAGTATCATGGGCGTCAACTTGTTCGCTGGGAAGTTCTACTACTGCATGAACACCACCACCTCGGAGAGGTTCGACATCTCAGAGGTCAACAACAAGTCCGAGTGTGAGAGCCTCATGCACACGGGCCAGGTGCGCTGGCTCAACGTCAAGGTCAACTATGACAACGTGGGCCTCGGCTACCTCTCCCTCCTCCAGGTGGTAAGCGTCCCCCACCGCCCCTGTGCAGAACCGGGATAGAGTTGCCTTCTCACCTATCACTGTGCTGGAAACCACTGTCACACCTCGTTAGGGTGCCACCCACCTTGCCCTCAATGCTGTGGGAGCCTGAGGTAGTGTCCAGACCTCTCCTCTATTTGACACTTGTTCGGTGGGGCTCTGGAAGGGGGTCCACAGGGAGGGTCTTGCTGGGGAGGGAAGGGAAACTCACGGGTGGGTGTCACCACCTCTCCTAGGCCACCTTCAAGGGTTGGATGGATATCATGTACGCCGCCGTGGACTCCCGGGAGGTGAGTGAGGTCGCTGACATGTAGCTGGTGAGTGAGCCGGGGAAGTACCATAGCAGCACGTTCATTCTGTCATCCCGACCACACCACACCATCTCCTCGGGAGCCCTGGCAGCCTGGGGGTGGGTGGGAGAAACTTGTGTATGCACCTCACCTTGTCCCATCCTCTGGCCCTGCAGCAGGAGGAGCAGCCACAGTATGAAGTGAACCTCTACATGTACCTCTACTTTGTCATCTTCATCATCTTTGGGTCCTTCTTCACACTCAACCTCTTCATCGGTGTCATCATCGACAACTTCAACCAGCAGAAGAAGAAGATGAGTATCTGGCCCGCCTCCTCGGCCCCACCCCTACCGCCTCGGCTCCTGCTTCCCCTCCCCCATCTACCACTCCTCCCTGTGGTCACCGGCTGCCTGATAGCCCTGTGCTGTCGCTGGCAGCCTCCCTGCCAGCCAGCCTGGTTCCAGATCCCACCAGGAGACCTTGAACAGTGACATCATTTTCCTGATCTATAAAATGATATTGCGACTACCTAGCTTCCTTGGTTATTCTAGGACTCAATGAGATATTGCTGGAAATTGGTCCAACACAGGCTTCTAGGCAGTATTGGTCCTTTCCCTCTGTCACCCCTACACTGCCCTTCTCTGGACCCTTAGCTCCTCCCAGACCCCTCCCCCTCCTTCCCTATGCCTCCATTTTTGGCCCTTCCAAGGCCCCTCCTCATTCCTACAGGCTTTTCTGCCGGGGTGGGGGCTGCTTTAAGGGTAGTGCCTGAGGTAGGAGAGTCTGAGAGGCAGTGAAGGGACCTACTCCAAACTTATGAGCCCTATCCCACTGTACTTTGGAGGAAAAGACATCTTCATGACAGAGGAACAGAAGAAATACTACAATGCTATGAAGAAGCTTGGCTCCAAGAAGCCTCAGAAGCCGATTCCACGGCCCCAGGTACTGTGGCCCCTCCTGTTATGGCCTGCACCGAGCTGCTGCCTGAGGGGTTGATGAGGGTGAAATTCAGCCTCCCTCTGCCCACCGAGCAGGTAGGGTCCACCTACAGGGAGTCATGACCACACATGTGCACACCCAGCAATTGCACTAGACTCAGGTCACTGGTTTATGCCTCATCTGCCCCTGTGCACCCTACCAGCGTCCATCCTCTCCTGGAACCCTCAGTGGCCTCTGGAGACAGGGCTTCATCAGTGGGGAGGAAGAAGCTGTCCAGACACTCTCCCCAATAAGCCGTGACTTTGGGAGAAAGAAGAGAGGTCCCAGAGGGAGGAGGGATTTCCTTGGACCCCACAGAAGGATGTGGTCCCAGGCCCTTCCCACCTGTGGCTGATTTCACCACCACCACCCCTGACACCTGTCTGTGTCCTCTCCATCTTCCTGTGCCTCCTTCCTGTCCCCATCCTGTCCTGGCCCTGACCCTGTCCTGCACCCCATGTCCACTCCTGTATTACAGAACAAGATCCAAGGCTTGGTGTACGACTTCGTGACAAAACAGGTATTTGACATCACCATCATGATCCTCATTTGCCTCAACATGGTCACCATGATGGTGGAGACGGATGACCAGAGCCAGCTCAAGGTGGACATCCTGTACAACATCAACATGATCTTCATTGTCATCTTCACCGGGGAGTGTGTGCTCAAGATGTTCGCCTTGCGCCAGTACTATTTCACCATCGGCTGGAACATCTTCGACTTTGTGGTCGTCATCCTGTCCATTGTGGGTGAGCTGGCAGGGCAGTGCCTACCCGAGTCACTCGGGAAGGCCTTCTGCACGCACACACATCTGCACAGGCACCTGGCACACTCACACACAAACACACATGCATACAACTGCCAGTCACTCTTAATACACAAAGGTACACGTAGGCAACCTGTCACCTGTGCACACATAAACACACCTCGAGCCACGTGTGATGGCACATGCCTGTAATTCCAGTTCTCATTAGGATCAACTTAGTGACTCAGTGAGATTCTGTCTCAAAATTAAAAATAAAAATGTTAGAAAGGCTGGTTCAGGCCCCAGATTCAATGCCCAGTGATAACAAAAAAAAAAAAAGACAGACAGACAGACAGACATGGTTTTGACTGGTAGATGCACACTTGGGTGCTGCATGGAAAACATAAGACAGTCTTCATATGACCAAAAAGTCATGGACATATATATCACCATAATAGTTAACCCCCCTTTACTGAGCACTTACTGTATTCCTGGCCCTGTGCTATGCACTTTATAGGTATTGTCTTATTCATTGCTTATAGCAACAGTCACAGAGTATATAGTAACATTCATAGGCAAGGGAACTGAGTCACAAACAGCGACATAGCCAGAATCACACAGCTGTCCTACCCATCTGACTCCAGCTCACCTATGGCATCTACAAACAGCCTCCATCTGAGCTTTGCTCAGAGGGTTAGCCCCTCTGCTCCTCGGTGGGGCGGAGCACACCAGCTGGCCCTGAGCCCCATTCCCTGCTCTCTGACCCAGCTCCTGTTCCTCCCTGCAGGTCTTGCACTCTCCGACCTGATCCAGAAATACTTTGTGTCGCCCACCCTGTTCCGTGTGATCCGCTTGGCTCGCATTGGGCGTGTCCTGCGGCTAATCCGTGGGGCCAAGGGCATCCGAACGCTGCTGTTTGCCCTCATGATGTCACTGCCTGCCCTATTCAACATCGGCCTCCTCCTCTTCCTGGTCATGTTTATCTATTCCATCTTCGGCATGTCCAACTTTGCCTACGTCAAGAAAGAATCGGGCATCGACGACATGTTCAACTTTGAGACATTTGGCAACAGCATCATCTGCCTCTTTGAAATCACCACATCAGCTGGCTGGGATGGGCTTCTGAACCCCATCCTCAACAGTGGGCCCCCAGATTGTGACCCCACACTAGAGAACCCCGGCACCAGTGTCAAGGGTGACTGCGGCAACCCATCCATTGGGATCTGCTTCTTCTGCAGCTACATCATCATCTCCTTCCTCATTGTGGTCAACATGTACATCGCCATTATCCTGGAGAACTTCAACGTGGCAACCGAGGAGAGCAGTGAGCCCCTTGGTGAAGATGACTTCGAGATGTTCTATGAAACATGGGAGAAATTCGACCCTGACGCCACGCAGTTCATTGACTACAGCCGCCTGTCTGACTTCGTGGACACCCTGCAGGAACCCCTGAGAATTGCCAAGCCTAACAAAATCAAGCTCATCACTCTGGACCTACCCATGGTGCCAGGAGACAAGATCCACTGTCTGGACATCCTCTTTGCCCTGACTAAAGAGGTGCTGGGTGACTCTGGGGAAATGGATGCCCTCAAGCAGACCATGGAGGAGAAGTTCATGGCTGCCAATCCCTCTAAGGTCTCCTACGAGCCCATCACCACCACCCTGAAGAGGAAACATGAGGAGGTGTGTGCCATCAAGATCCAGAGAGCCTACCGCCGGCATCTGCTGCAGCGCTCTCTGAAGCAGGCATCCTACATGTACCGCCACAGCCAGGACGGCAACGGGGACGGGGATGGGGGGGCCCCTGAGAAGGAGGGGCTGATCGCCAATGCCATGAGCCAGATGTATGGCCCAGAGAATGGGAAGACCAGTGTACAGAGCCAAGGGCAGGAGGAGGGTTCCACGGGGGACACTGGACTCGCCATGGGGCTCGTGCCCATCAACCCCTCAGATACTACGCTGCCTCCCTCCCCGCCACCAGGGCAGACAGTGCGCCCAGGGGTCAAAGAGTCTCTTGTCTAGCGAGCAGTTAACAAGGTGACCAGCTGAGCCTTGGTGCGTCCAAAGCTCCCCCGAGTGCCTGTGCACTGTTTGAGGGAGCAGGGTTTTGAGTCCAGGACTACACCCAGCTCCCTGTAGGGGACAGGATTTGGCCGTGCTGAGTCTGGCTCCCAGGCTTTGAGAAGTGGGAACTGCATTCAGGGACCCACGCTGGCCTGAAGCCCTTGCCTCCATGATTTCATCCTGAGTTGCTCTGACCTCCTCATGGACCCTGCTGTTCCTCCTTCTGGCCTGAAGGAGGGTAGAACATGAGGATCTCTGCCCCTTAGGTGGGAATGAGCCAGCCTACAGTGGAGGGATTGGCTACCCTCCTGTCACCAGAGTCTTAAGGGCTACTGACTTCTCCCCAGGAAGTGGCCCAAGGCCCCCAGCTCCAGGCCAGACATCTTCACCTCAACTAGTGCAGACACCTGAGCTCAGGACTCAGCCAGCCCTCTCCCTCTCACTCTGGGGTGCGGCTTCCCACTACCAGCTCAGGAATTCCCTGGAGAAGGGAAATATTATTCATCCAGAAATTGCCCTCACAAACCTGATTGGCCACTGGATCTTGGGCTGGTATTGAGTCCTGAAACCTTTTCCTGGGCCCTGTCTAGGCCCATGGAGAGCTCCTGACTGGCCTCTAGCAGAGGAGCAGAAGGAAGAATTCCACTTGGAAATTACCTTTTCTATGAAGCATGGATGTGAAATACAGGCCGGGTCCTGCCAACTGTGTGGCCACACTTAGCCTGGGTAGATCAGGGATCCTGATGCTGAATGAGAGCCTGGGTAGATCAGGGATCCTGATGCTGAATGAGAAGACCCTGTTCCTACTCTTTCTTGTCTCCTCTTGCCTTCAGTAGACCACCAGGGCCCCTTGGAGCCCCATCCAGCCTCAGAAATCTCTCCTTCCTCATCTTTTCCCATGCCTACGTATCCTTCTCACGTCTTTTAAGTGGCCCTAAGAATGTTATAGTGGAACTCATGTGACAGGTGTTGATACTGGGGCATGCAGCTCGCCTCATTTGGGCTCAGCCTTCCAACTTCCTGCTGCCTGGAACTGCTGATCTGGACATGGTGGCATCAGTCTTTGCTAGCTCCTGAAAAGCAGAGGCCGAACTGGGAGGATATGAGAGTCCTCCTCAGAGGCCTCTGGGTTCTGTCACCTGTGCGTGTGTGACTGTGTGTCTGCTTGTAGGCTGAGCAGATACTATATGTGTGCTCAGGTTCACACTGTGTGTGTGAACCACTGTAGAGCAGTGTCTGCAGAAGCAAGTGTGTCTGGGTTTCTTCGTGTCTCTGTGTATCAGTGTGCCCTGGAGTGTCTGAGGTCCATGTGAGTACAGCTGGTGTGTGTGTGTGTCTGTGTGTGTGTGTGTGTGTGTGTGTGTGTGTGTGTGTTCTGTGCTGGCCTGTTCATATATTCATATGAGAGCGTAGACCTGTGCCCTGAAGGTCCAGTGATTGTGATATTGTGTAAGATTTGTGCTTTGGGTCCCCTATTGACTTAAGTTCCTCTTCTTTTTCCTCTTGTTTCTCATGAACAGTTCGGTTAAAACTCAGGAAGCTGCAAAACCCTTTTAAAAAGATACGAATGTGTTCACGCGCACAGGGGCCCATGGGCCAGGGTCTCCTTCTTGTCTGCCCTGTTCTCCTGCCCTCCGGGTCCTGCCTGGGGGTCTCTTTCCCTCCTTCCCCACAAGCTTCTCTCTTCCCATTCCTGTTCTTGTTCCCATCCCTGTGGCCTCAGCCCTGCTCCCTGCTCCCTGGCGATGGGAGGATGCCTCAACTCCTTCCATCTCTTCCTGCCATAGCGGGTGAGCCTCCCCCTTCCCAGCCCCCTGCCCCTCTGGCACAGAGCCTTGGGAATCTGTTGGATTGGACGTTCCTTGTCCATTGCAGAGGAAGAGCAGATGGGCAGGGCCTGGCTTCTTCCTGCCTGTGGCCCTCTTCCCTGCAGACTGACACCCATTCCTACCTTGTCGAGGTGGGAACCAGCCTGGAGCCAAGCTGGAAGACGAACTTCTTTGTACAGTTCTCTTTGTACAATAAACCCTCCCCTGGTGCCGCAGATGTGTGGGCTTCTCCTTTCGGTGCCTCCACGAGTGGATATGGGCGAAGAAGAAGGGCTGTGGGCAGTGCTGCCGAGAGAGGGAGTAATGAGGGAGCCTCTGGGGCAGGATGTGGAGGGCCAGTCCTCCCCTCCCCTCCCTGCAAACAAGCAGCTCCCAAGACACGCATGTGGTGACCCTGTATCCCCAGCCCTGCCCTCCCTAAGCCCCCTTCAGTTCTCTGCTTCCTCAGGGACATCAAAGAGACCCCCCAGGACTGTCCCTGACCCTTGGTCCCAAAGAATCCAGGGTCACATGGATCTGTGTGCAATAGAGAGTAGTCTTACCTAGCAAACTCAGCCCACAAGTCCAGTGGGTGACCTGTAACTTGATACATTTTCTGTAATGACTCCTGATTCCTGGGCTGAGCTCCTCCAAGCTAGTAAATACCTGCACGTTTTCAGGGTTTCCGTATCCACTTTTCCTGGGTCCTGAGGCTCTGTGGCATGGTGAAGGAAGGGCAAACATCTGCCGTGGCCCACGGGCTGCCCAGGATATCCCTCGGCTGTCCCTGTGCCCCTTCCAGCCTTCCGGTTTCCTTTGCTGCTGAGCATCTCTACAGAGGTCTCTGAGCCCCCAGGGTCCTGGTGCCCTCTCTAGAGACAAAGCTCATTCTCACTTCCAGGCCTCGTGGGGGGCCTTTCTGGCCCAGAGGCCAGGAAGACTGCAGAATGCCAAAGCCCATTCTTCTCCTGACCCTTGACTGGCAGGAGGAAAAAAGCAAAACACTGGGTGGGAAACATCAACAGCGTAGGCTGGAGTCTCACAGTTTCCATGGCTCCCGAGACGCGTGCCGCTTGCCTTCCCGAGGGTGTGTGGGTCTCTCACCAGTCAAGTGCCCTTGGTGCACACGGCTGCCTATGAGGAGCACAGAGTTACTGGTATTCTGTGCAGGTGAGGAAATTTGGCTTCTGAAAGGTTCAGAATGAGTGCTGTTGGTATGTGGCATGGGCAATGCTTTTCCTTGTGAGTAACTGTCTTTCCCGTGGGGGGCCTTCATTGCCCCCAGGCCAACGAAAGCAGGGGCACCGGCTATGAACATAATTGTCTCCAAATGGTCCCAGATAAGGGATCCTCTGAGAAGCACTGTGACTTGGGGTGAGGGTGGTGGTTAGCTCGTACACTAGGTTAGGATTTGAATCCAGCAGGCCACCTAGGCAGGAGTGGACTATATGGGGGTCCGGGGTTGGAGTTCCTTCCCTGAGACTCTTCCTGCCCCTATTCTTGCAGAGGTGACTGTGGTCCTTTGCCCAACCTAAGTCCCTTGTTCCTTTTCCCATCCGCTCATCTCTTGTCTTGACTCTGTCTTCCTGGAAAGGAGAGAGCCAGGCGTCAGTGTGTGGAGCTCAGGGCAGCCAGGACAGTGGCGGGGGCAGGCTTGCCAGATTGCCTGCTCCAGGAAGGACAGGGTTTGTGCTGTTATCATCAGGAAGGGAACAGTACAGCCCCAGCTGTGACAAATAACTCTGCAGGTGGCCGCAAACCCCACCCCCTGCCTCGCTGCCTCTGCTTCTCCTGAGAACAAGTCTCCACTAGGCATGCATGGGAATGAAGTCCAAAGGGCACATCTGCATCCCACCCACGGGTGACGCATGTGAGTTTGGAGGACAGCTACTGCCTGGACATCTGTGCCCCCCAGTCATCCTCGGCCCCAGGACCAGCTTCTCAGCAGGCCCCACATCACATTGCCAGGGTGGCACACACCCATGAGCACACACCCTTGCACACGTGTGTGACCCAAGCCTTTCCTGATGCCCTTTCATTATTGAGGGACCTCAGCCTCAAAGCTAAGATCTGCATCACCAGGGGCTCGGCGGGGATAAACTTTGCTAAAGGGGGAGAGCCCCAGATTTTGTTCTACATCCTGAGCTGGTCTCTCTCCAGCCACTGCCACCAGCACTTGGTGGGGCCTGTAATCCCTACACTGACCTCAAATGATGTTATTATTCCTAGGTTGTTTGTTCTGTGAGCTGAACATCTGATACCTTTTCAGAGAAAAAAAAAATTTTTTTTTCATTTGGAACATCTGGAAATAATCAAGAACATTTGGGTCTTCCCAGAACGAGCTGTCCTTTAGATGAACACATAACCTTTGTGTCCCTAACGTCCACAGCTCAGGTCCCAATCTGCTGTGTTCAGAGAAGCCTCACCCTGTCATGTGAAGAGCAGACCTACGACAGAGGTGGGTGTTACCTAGACCCTTTGCCTTCCAACCCTCATGTGGGAGGAGCGCCTGCACCTCCCTAAGCCTAGGCAGACCTGTCAGACTCACGGGCTGAGAATAGAGGGTCATGGGGACTGAGATGTGGACAGAGGGCACTGAAGACTTAACATCTGTCTTCCTCTCCTGGAGATCAGGAGATGAGAAAAAATGAGGGGACAAGAAAGAAAGAAGTCGCCAGGAGACATAAAACTCCCAGAGGGCTGAGGTTTGCAAGCCTGCTGTGTACAGCACTGCAGGTGGCATCCTGCACAAGGGCAACCCCCAAGGGGGCCCTGGGATAGGAACACAAAGCGAGGCTTACATGAACCCCCGAACACTGTGATTCCGTCCTCAGCTCTACCGACTTGAAGATTATGGCCAGAGCTATCAGAAGCTGAGGGCTCGCTTCTTCACACTCACCCCCTGAGCTCTGCCCAAGGTCCTCTGGAGCTGTGGACAACACCTCAGTGACCTCAGAGTGCCAGAAAGCCCCCAGGAGAAGCCTCTCACTGTTAAGCGTTAGATCTTCTCTAATCCATCTCTACCCAAGTTCGCCCCTTTGGCAGCCCACAGCAAACACTCCCACAGCATGAGGAAGGGTCCCCCTCATCATGGACTGGACCACATCTTCTCCCAAGTCGTTGCCACCTTGGTCTGCTTTTGCTCAAGAACTTCAAAGGCGCCCTCCACAGCTTTTCCAGTATGGCCACCTGCACACTAGACAACAGGCTCTGCTTTGGACCCGTCAGGAGCCCGGCCTGGTTTCACTGTTGACCCCTGCCCTTGTCCTGTCCCCACCCAAAGGGTGAGGGTGGTCTAACTCAGAGGGACTGAGCTCAGATTCACTCACTCATGTCTAGCTAAGTGCCTAGGAATAAACACCAGCAGGGCCCTGCCTTTTAGGAGCCAGCAGACTGCAGAGAGCAGGCCGAAGGCCCAGGGACAAACGCCAGAGGGTTGGAGACACAGGGAGGAAACAAAAGCTGGCCCCTTGTCCAGGGTTTCTACCAAGGGCCCCGGCTGTCCTGCCCAAGGTGGGCCACCTTCAGGCCTTAGTGGCCCAGCTGACAAGACCATCCCTCCCCCAGGGTCCCCTGAGAGCTGGTGCCTCCCTTGGGTCCCAATTTGCATGGCAGGAAGGGGCCTGATGGGGAAGAGGCAGGGAGGGGACAGGCGGCAGCCCAGCAGTTACACATTTCTCTCAAGAATCTCGGACGTGGTCACAGGCTCAGGGGCAGAACGGTGACCATGGCCGGGCTGGTGCTGTGTCCTGCGTCCAGCAACTGGATGGTGCTGTTGGTGCTGCTGCTTTCAGGTACAGGCCCTTGTGAGGCCCGCTGGCTTCGCTCTGTGTCCTTGGCTCTGTCTCTGCTCTCTCTTCTCCCTCCTACAGCTCAACCTCTGCTCTCTGCCTCCCTCTGACTGACTCCAGAGCCCAGGCCTGTGCATCTTAGCCTTGGTGATGGGCTCAGGATCTGCGGCCACAGCCCCTCTTCCTCCTGGAGGGTGTTGGATTGAGCTGAGCACAAGGGGCAAACAGGCGGCAGCCGTGATGGTGGAAGGGTAGGGTCTTGAAGGAAGAGAGGGACTGAGTATGGCTTATGCCAAGTGTGTGAAGACACTCACTACATGGGGGATGCAGGGGAGAGGCAGCCCCAACCAGACCACAGTAGATGCATGCTGCAGAAATGGTTCCCTCCTTGTCTGGAAGATGGGAGAGCCCTCCCAGCTGCGACTTCCTTCCTGTCTCATTTAAATGCCTCCTCAGTGCCATCCTGAGGGTCAAGCTCAGAGTGGGAGCTAGAGAGGGGTTTCTGGTACCACTACCAAGTTCCTGTCTCCCCAGGGCAAAGGCAGAGAGAATTGAGGGATCCATCGTGAAGCTACCTCCTGGAAGGAGGGAGTTGTTTGGGAATGCAGAGAACGTAGGGGTGGGGCAGTCAATTGAGGGTAGAGAAGCCTGATCTGGTCCCACCCACTTCCCCCTCCCCTCCAGGTGAGCCGGTGTCACCAATCACTGATGAAGACATGTACCTGAATCCCAAAGGTCAGTCACCTCGTCCACAGCCTCTGGGGACAACTTTGTGTTCAATGCCCAGTACTGTCCCAGGGACTGCTGCTTTTCCCATTTTTGTTGGGTCTCCCCATCTAGATCTCCCATCCTCAGGCTTCCTTAAGGTCTCTCTGAGTCTCCACCCAGCCAGCCATCATCCTGCCACTGGGTGCTAGGCTAACTTGGCGCTTATGTCGCTGAGCTAAATCCCCAGGCCTTAACCTGAGGTCAGAGCTGGGAGTCAGAGGGGATTCTATGGAGGTCTCAGGCCTGGATCTGTCTAGGAGGAGTCAGCATAGGCTTGGGGATGAGCCCCTCAGGGCAGGGCTCAGGGATTCCCCAGAAGCCAAAGGCTGAGCCCAAGGCAAAATGAGTCTCCTCAAAGCAGGTAGGAAAGCTTTCCAAGCTGAGTCCAAGAACAAGGTACAATAGGATTGTCCAGGAGGGTTGAGCGGGCTGGTGGAGGAGGGCAGGCTATGGATTGGCCCTTTGCCCCCTGGGAGCCATGAGGAGTCCTTGAAGATTACAGGTAGATACAGATGGATCAGAAGAGTGGCTAGAAGAACTGGATCGAGCTGCAGGCTGTCCTGTGGAACTCCAGGCCTGGGGGTGAACCCTGAGTCTGGCTGTTCTAAGGGGTGTGGAGAAAAAGCAGAAGATTCCATGCCCCATAAAGGACACTTAGATGGGCAGAGGGACAGTCAGGAAGAGGTAGGCCCAGTGGCTCATTGTGTGGATCCTCACATGGCTCACATACCTCTGCCTCCTGACTGCCCCACACCCTCAGGAGCAAGGACAGGGAAGGCAGACTGAGCCAGAGTCACTCACTGCCTTCCCAGGGCTGCGGTCTGCAGGAGAGGCTGGCACTCAGGAAAAGGCCAGCATGGATTTTGAATATGATCTTGCTGTCCACAGGAAGCGCTTGTTCCCGGATCTGGCAAAACCCCCGTTTCGTGGCCAGGAAAAGGGGCTCTGTGGTGAAAATGCAGTGCCACATAGACAGCTCCAGCTTCACTAGCATGGTGACCTGGTTCCGCAAACAGGAGACAGACAAGGAGGCCCAGAAACTGTCTCTAGAACAGGGCCACATCCAGCAGACCCATAACGACTCCATCCACACCCTCATCATTCAAGGCGTCCAGTTTGAGGACAATGGCATCTACTTCTGCCAGCAAGAGTGCCCGGGGACAGACACCGGTGTCTCCCGGGGCTGCGGCACGGAACTTCGAGTCATGGGTGTGTGCCAGGTGGACGGGGTGTTCATGCAGCCATCCATACCCACCTCTAGTCAGCCTACACTGGGGGTGAGCGACCATGGATGGAGGTCGCTGTGGCCCCAGAGCACTCAGGACAGCTGCTGGAAAGCAGGTCCTGGTGGGTTACTAAGAACCACCACTGCAAGCTCACGGGGTGGGGTGGGGGACTCCACTAAAGCCCTCACCCAGCATCATGGCCCTCCCTCAGGATTCAGCACCTTGGCACAGCTGAAGCGGCGGAATACACTGAAAGATGGCATCATCATGATCCAGACTCTCCTCATCATCCTTTTCATCATTGTGCCCATCTTCCTGCTGCTGGACAAGGTGACCATGGGCGCTAGGGAGGTAGACACAGGGCAGTCCCGATGGGCAGGGTCTCCATTTTGCCAGCCCCTGCAGTGTCTGACTTGGCCTGGCCCCAGGCAGAGCTGCTCTTTGGCTCACCTGTTGACATACACACCCCTTCATTCCATTCACTTATTGCCACATCCATCCCCTCACCCAGGCCCATATTCCTGGCCCAACAGAGGCTGGGGCCGGGGGTGGCTCACACTCTTTTCTCCATCGCTAGGATGACAGCAAAGCCGGGATGGAGGAAGATCACACCTACGAGGTAAGAACGGGACGCCCAGCAGCTCTGAGCTGAGCAGGCAGCGGCCCCATGTGTATTGGTGTAGTCAGGGAGGGGCCAGGGCCTGAACTCTACTTCATGTCTGCAGGGCCTGGACATTGACCAGACAGCCACCTATGAGGACATAGTGACTCTGCGGACAGGGGAGGTGAAGTGGTCTGTCGGGGAGCACCCAGGCCAAGAATGAGGAGCCAGCGCCCCTGCCCCAGGACACCGTTTCTGGGCCTCATTGACTGCATCAGAGTTGCCTGGTTCATGGTCCGTCCCCTCCTCCCTGGACCCCCAGCTGGTCTCTGAGGCTGGCCCACCAGAGCCGCCTCCCCTTCCAGCCATTGTTCCAGGCTCTTACCAAAGGGCCTAGAACGGAAGGACAACAGACAGTGACTTGGAATGGGGAGTGGATAGACTGGGCCCAGCCTTCTGCGGGTGCTATACAGGATCCCCACCTTGGGGACGTGAAAGCAGAGACTTGTTAAAACCTGTAAATGGCGTCTAACGCAAACTAGCTTCCTACAGGGTCTTGGAAAAGCCATGGCTCCCCAAGGACCCCAGAACGGTTATTGAGAATTGCATTCCTCTCTCCCATCCTCTCCCCTCTAATGGGGCACCATACCTGGAGCCCATTGTCCCATGGAATAAACGATGTGTCTGACAACCTCCATACGGGCACGAAACTTCTCGTGGGGTAGGGCGAGTGGGGGTGACATCTGAATGTGACACCTGTGGGCCTATGGGCTGTGGAGAAGGGGGCTGGAGACCCAGTTAGTGTCTATGGTCACATCCTCATGTCATCGTCCTCTCTGGCCTTGGCTGCTCTATAAGGCTCCTTCCCACCCCAACCTGTCCCAAATCACCTGGCCTTCAAGATCCTCTGCCTACAGGAACCCTTGCAAAGCATCCTGGGCACTGCCCAGACAGGTTCAGATCAAACCGTACAGCTGTGGGCGTGGCTGCTGCCTGTTCACTTGGCTTTGGTTCTCCAATTAAACTAGAAGCTGCCTGAGAGTAGGGGTTGCCTGGCTCTACGACACCCCTTGCCCCTCCTACACCATCCTCCACTATGTCTAGAACCTTTTCTTTTCAACTTGATCCAGAGCCACTCAGAGAAAAAATTTCTAAAGAGGAAGGTCGCATGTGATGACGTTTGGGGGTCCTTAAGGGAGCTACCTCTTCAGGTTTTCCCAGCATCACATTGGGCCTCAAGGTCCCTCGGGCCTCAAGGTCCCACAAAATGATTCCTAGGTACCAGCTGCAGGAATAACTGGGAACAGCTCACCGCTGGGAGTGAAGGACAAACACCTGGCTACGCAAAGCCCCCCTCCTGAGCTAGTCTCTGCTCCATTTCTTGCTGGCCTTGGAGGAACCCTTCTCTGCCATTCATGCTCTGGACTTAGGCAGGTAAATTCCTACCCTGGAGGAGCTTCCAGTTTACCTGAAGAGCCATCTGAGAGCCATTGAGAGAAGCACCGCATTTTTATTTTTATTTTATTTTTATTTTCCAGTATTGGGGGTTGAGCCCAAGGCCTTAACACTAAACTACATCCAGGCCTTTTTTATTTTTTGTTTGTTTGTTTGGAGACAAGATCTTGATACATTACTAAATTGCCCAGATTAGGCTTGGACATGTGATCCTCCTGCCTCAGTCTCCCAGAGTGCTGGGTTTAGCTTTACAGGTATGTACCAATGCGCCAGCTGAGAAGCACCACTTCTTAACAGATCCCCTGTGGGGTTCCAGGTGGGGTGGGTGGTAAGGTGCACACATCTAGTTTCAGCTCAATCTTCCACTCGCTCAACAGGGCCCGGCTCCCTCCCTGGTCTGGGGCTGCCAGACCCCAGCTTGTTTTGGCCTCTGCCTCCACTGAGCTGGAGCCCTGGCTTTCCTGCTGCTTTGCATAGTGGAGCTAATTTTGTCCCCTCCCTTCACCAGGGACCTGGGCAGCCAGCCAAGGTGGAGGAGTCTTCACTTCTCCCCTAATGAGGGTTTGCCCCCACTTGGGGCTGTCCTGGGTCATGGGAGGCTTCAGCTTTACCAAAAAACTAACACCTTTGAATAACTGGGTTTCCCTAAGGCTTTGAAGTGCTTATTGACAGAGAAGCATTTGGGCAGGAGGCCACCTCCTCCACAGACACTCCCCACATGAATTAGTATTCCTAGGTTAAAATGGAGAAGCCCTCCCATATGATTTTGTTCAGGAACTCACATTTTTGGTGTCATCATGGCAATCTTAAGGGGCCTTGGGCCCCAGAATTGGCTCAAGCAGTGGAAACGTTACTGGGTGAAGCACATCTCAGACCTCAGGTGCTTTATCTGTAAAATGTGTATGATAAACCTATCTGGACCTGGGCCTGATGGCAGCTGCCATCCCAGCCTACGGCAGGAAGATCACTTGAGCTCAGGAACTGGAGGCCATTCAAGGCAACGTAGTAACCCTATCTCAAAAAGCCCAAAATCTATCCAAACCAAAGGAATTTAACTATTTGCCTTTTAAAACAAAAAACTATGTAATGAAACTGAGTTTGTTTTGTTTTTGCTACTGTTAGGTTTGGTTTGATCTGTTGAGACAGGATCTCACCATGTTGTTCAGCCTGGCCTCAAACTCATAGCAATCCTCCTGCCTCAGCCTCCCAAGTGCTTGGGATCCCAGGGACATGCCACCACTCCCAGCCTGAGTTTGTTTTCTTTGGGTGAATTCTAGAACATACAGATTTGTATAACCAACTCCATAATTTAGATATGAAACATGAACCAAAAGTTTTTATTGAGCCCAGTGAATACCCAATTGAACAACTCCTAAATGACAGTAATTTATTTTTTTCAGTACTGAACTCAGTGCCTTCACCGTGACTATATCTCTAGTCCTTTTATTTACGTTTTATTTTGTTTGAGGCTTGGTGGGTTGTTTGTTTGTGGGACAAGATCTCACTAAATTGCTCAGGCTGCCAAAACATTCAATCCTGCCTCTGCGTTCAGCTAGCTTGGTCTCTAAGTATTCACTGCTATGCTAGAAACACCAACACATTCTCTTTTACATGACCTTGCTTAAGCTTCTCTATAACCCCGAAAGAAGAGAACCTTATCTCTGTCTCCCCCACCCCCTAGCAAAAAAGAGTCAAGGCTAAGGAAATTACCAGAACTGGCCACAAAGCACACACAGTCTTCCGACTCCAAATGTGGCCCTACATGACACTGCATCACAGTGACCTTCCTTGAAGGACTTCACACCAACAAAACTTTGAGCCATAGGAGCAAGAGAAGGACTGAGGGAAGGGAATTCTGGGACAATTTTGTTTATTTTCAAAGTCTGCCCAGTGAAGAAATTTACTCTTTCCACCCCTGTGGACATGGCTGGACCAGCCGCCCAGAATCCTCAAGAGTCTTCCCTCAGCCATCCTTGCAGGAGCCCAGGTCCTCCTGGCCTTCCCGTCCCCAGCAGGCAGCTGTGAGACCCCTGATGGGCACATGCTCCCCCACCCCCACCTGCTGGGGGAATCCAGCTGGGCCCCTGGGGACCCTGGTTTAAGCACGGGCTGCTTCCTCCTCCACTCTAGCTTGACTTCCGGCCTTCTCTGTGCAGGTGCTGCTTAGCCTAGGTTGCTCTGACCCAAGGCTTTGGGTGTTTTTCCAAAGGCAAGAGAAAACAAAAAATGTGCAAAGCTGCTGCTGTTTGGGCAGCATCAGCATCGAGCAGGCAGTGTTCACCTGAGCAGGGTCTGACCCGGCTAGGCCACCTGCTCAAAGGCCACGGCGGAAGCAGCATTTGGGGTTCCTGGATTCTGTCTGCTCCTTTTAGGCCCCTTCAGAGCTGCAGTGAGACCCCACTTCCGGGGAGTCCCTAGATGTGTCCCAGGTCTCCAGCTGCCCTGCTATGACTCACTCCAGTCCCACGTTGTCCTGCAAACAACAACCAACCTCCCCCTGGAGTCACCCCACTGCCCTGTCTACCCCATAGGGCTTCACTTGGAAACAGAGGCGACTGCAGAGCACAAAAGTTAGCAGACATTAAATGCGGAGTGCAGTGTTAATGTTAAAACCCATCCTGACTGATCCTAGCACAGTTTCTAAAAATTACTTTCCCCTTGGAGCTAAACTCTCCTTCTCCACACAGGAGGACAGGATAGGGAAGGGAGACACTACCTCTAGGATCCAGGTTCACAGGCTGCAATCTCTGAGAATGTTAGTGTGAACTTGGAATGGGCACCGACCCACATATGGCCTTGTGTACTTTTTCATTTTATTTTTTGATGTGCGTGTTGCTGTGCATTCAAGTTCCTGTCCTCATTATTTTAAAATAACTGTAGGAGGATCCTGAGGCAGGACACGGTGTACATCACCAGTCCCAGTCAGCTGCACCTGTGAGCCCCTCTCTTGGGTCTATGCTTCTATCCATTTGTTCCACTCGCCAGACGCATTTGAATTCCCAGCCAGGGACTGGACGAACTGGCCTGCTCCTTCCATTCCCTGGTTTATCTCTCATCTCTGTGTCAGCTGTTTCCTTTCTGGTAGGTTTCCCCGTTGGAGACTTCAGTCTTTAATTTACCATTATACAGTATGTTTATTTATTTGCTATTGTCTCTCTTACCAATAGACTCCAGAAGAGACAGGATCATCTCTTTTGAGTCATCAAGGTATGCATATCTGCCTGGCAGGATATCCGGTATAAGGTATGGGCAGCAGCTACTTCTTGAGTCAGTAATGCCTACAAAGAGAACAAATGAAAGGGAGCAATCCAGCCTCGGAGAGCTTGCAGTGCAGTAAGGGGAACGAGATAGCCACAAATAACCAGAGGGGAAGGTACTATACTTGATCTTCACCAAAAGGTCAAGAAGTAAGACCACAAGATAAGATAAAAGAGGCATTGGTTATTTTTAGCTGAGAGTACCCAGCAGGCAAAGATCCCAGGCTTCCTGCGATTTCTGGAACACACAATGGTCCATATAATTGTTTTCAATGGAATTTGGGAATTATTCCCTAGGGAAGTTACTCAGTATGTCTAGAGACAGTGGACTGTCACCTGACGTGGACGTGGACCTCTTCCATGTTGTTTGGAGATCATCATCACTCAGTATAAACAACACCTGCATCAATACACAGCCGTGTCTGCGCTGCTCTCAGCACGGCTCTCACGGTCCTCCCTCTATGCTTGAGTCCTCTGGCTGCAAAGTGGGCAACTCAAGGGTCCCCTGAGATACAGGAAGTGAAAACATGATGCACACTGAAACGTGCAATACAAATGTGAATCACGATGCGATTTGGTTCATTAAATCAGGCCACATCGAGTTGTTTTTTCTACTGCTTTTCTTAGTGCCTGTGGATACCCCATTCTGAAGCCGGTGTTCCTTATACTCAATTCCTGCCGCTTTCACTGGAGAGCTTCTCCACAGGGACTTGAGTCTGCCTTGCACTGAGGGAAGTCCTGTGCATGCCAGGCAGTGCCACCATCTTTACCAGTCGGGGCTTCTAAAGGGGTTGGAATGGCAGAAAGATCAGGGGCCTTGCCTGGCTGTTGCTTTGGGACTGGAGATCTCAGCAAGAAGGCACCTTATTGGTGATGTTCTGGGAGTGGTGTGGATGATTCATGTGTAGCCCAGATGAAATATATGAACTTCCAAATACACTGAAAGGAACATATACATTCCAAGTTACAACCTGAGTGTTCTTTAAAGATGACTGGGGGTTCATTCTGAGCCCGAGGAGGCTGACCTCAGAGATGCTAATCACAGCCTCTCCCCACAGGCCATCCAGAGACCACTGCTGGGCAGTCCCCAAACCTGATGGAGTCAGTCAGAGGTGTCTGTGTGTCCCAAGACTGGGTGACTTTCCAAATCTAATTCCAAGTTTAGCTTCTTCCAGCACACATCCCGTGTGCCCACTTTGTATAACCGTCAGTCTCCAGCTCAGGGTTCTTCTGGCCTCTGCTCCAGGAGGGGCTTCTTCCGGAGTCCAGAGTCCACATGGACGATTCTCAGCATTGAAGAAGCATCTGACATGGAGGCTCCGTGTTAACGCCCCCATCAGGTGACACAGGAGGAAAGATGGCAGGGGAGGCAGAAGACTCCATGGGCTCGGGGCCGCCTCCCCTGGCTTCCTGGCCCCTACTCTTTGGTGGAGCTGGAAGCAGGAGAGAAAAGGATGTGTCTGATGTCCCTGTGGCCCCATCTTCCTCAAGCCTGTATCCAGGCGATGCTCCCCACAAGCCTGCCTGGAGAACATTCTCCAGGGTCCCAGGCCTCCCGGGAGGTGACAAACAGGAGTCCTAGAAGGAAAAGGTGGTGAGGCCCAAGCATTCATGTTCCAGAACAAGGGCATGAGTTTTTGTGGTTGATGCCAACATCATAATCAACCATGCAACCAACTGCTTCTATTTGTTTTCTCAGTTTGAAGCCCTAGGTGTCCTGAGACTCAGGGATGGAAGGCTTAGGGGCAGGGAGTGCGTTTCTTTCTGCCTTCAACCCGGGGCTGAGGGATTTAGAAGTCAGAAATAACTGAGGGGCACCACACAGTGTGCTAGGAGAAAGGGCTCCAGACGGTGGAACACTGAGAAATCAAGGCCGAGGAGGCTGCCACCTTGGCTGATTTGGCTCATGAAGGTGGTCTCTCAGAGCCTCAGTCTCTTCCTCTGAAAACAAGTGTGACTAAGACTTGTTCACATAACTGTTGTGAGATTGCACGTAGCTATGCTCTTTCATTTCTGTACTGATCTCTGGACAGACACTAAAAGATGGGAAAAACAGCAAAGAACTACAATGACTGCTTAGGGCACTTTTGAGGTTCCTGTACATTGAGTTTTATTGCTGGGAAGACCCAAGCCCTCAAAGGCTTCCCCTGCTCTGAGATTCTCTGATGTTTCAGGGCAAATGCAAAGAAGCATTGTGGCCTGTTTCTGTTCCCAAGATTTGTGCTTCTCGGTTTGTATCTCTGTGGCAGATCTGAGGAGAGGTTTGATCATTAATTGTGACATGTCAACTTGACTTGCATAACTGCCCAGCAGGGGCTGGGGATTTAGCTCAGCGGCATAAGCGCCTGCCTTGCAAGCAGGCAGTTGTGAGTTTGATTCCTGGTACCGATAAAAAGGAAAAAGACAAAAAAAAAAAAAGAACTGTAAAGTTCTGAATGTATCTGGATGGTTGATGGGTAGGCCAGTAACTTGAGGAGGGAAAGATCTACCCCAGTCTGAGGCATCAACCAATAGGATTGTAGCCTAGATAAAATAAAAAGGGAAAGGAGGGCTGGGGATTTAGCTCAGTGGTATAAGTGGCTGCCTGGCAAATGCGAGGTCGTGAGTTAGATTCCTGGTACCAAAAAAAGGTGAGGGGAAGGAGAGGAAAAAATTTTTTTCAGAAGAGCTTCAATCTTTGCCCTTGCCATTGGACACTGGTCTCCACATTCTTCAGCTTTGCAGTGCAGAGTCACACTGGTGACTCTATGGCGAGCTTCCAGGCCTTAGACCTTTGATTGCTACTAAATCCTTTGGCTTTCCAGAGCAAATTGTCATTTTGGGTCCTTCTACCTCTGGTCCTGTAAGCTTACCTAATAAATCCCTACCTATTGATTACCTTCCTCTAGGACAAACGCAATACCTCAAGTTTCAGTCCTCTGCCCCATAAACATAAGGGGACTCCAGCACTCAGAGAAGAGAGGCAACATGTGGGATCCACGCCCTTCACTGGTTGTGTCATCACCACACTCAGCTGCTTCAGCTCTACTAGGTGATGGGATGGAGGAAGCAAGTAAGGAATCTGGAGCCAAACTGTGCCCAGAACACCCAGAATCTACTGCCAGTCTTTGGCCTCCTTTCTAAGCACAATTCTCTCTGGGTACAGGGAAAGCACGTAGGGAAGAAGAAAGGGACAGGACACAGAATGGGAAGGAGTCAACACTGCTCTCAAGAAACAGTCGTCCTGACACTGCCCCACTTGGGGAACTGTGGGGCTCTCTCAACCTTGGTAGACAAACTCTACTGCACCATCCTGATGGAACGACCCCGAACTCTGCTTCTGTCATTCTCGTAAGACCTCAGAATGGGTGGTCTCTCTAGCTGAGACCCTCTGTGCACAATCCTCATGACCATGGTGATGAGGAAGGGGATGATGGTTAGCCCAGGGGCATGACACCCGCAGACAAGCGGGAACAGGATGAGTGGGAGGAGCTTGTAAATTATCCATCAGCACAAACCGTCAGCGGCCCCATGCATAAATACAAGGAGAAAACAGACAGCAGCCTTGTGGGTGGGGGGTGGAAGGGGACCAGGGTATAAAAAGGGCCCACAAGGGACCAACTCCAGAATCCTACGCTCCAGTTCCCGAAACCAGTCAGGGTCCTGTGGACAGCTCACTCAGCTGCAATGGCTGCAGGTAAGTGTCCCTGAAGTCCCTTTGGGCATGGTGTGGACCAAGGGGAGGTGTGGGGACCCTGCAGACAGAGTGGGGGAATCAACCCTTGGGTTTGGAGTTTCAGAATGTGAATACAGCCATCTAATCCCAACATGCCGACTATGCTCTCGGTGCTTAGGAGAGGTGGGGGAGAAGGAACTGCCTCAGAGTGGTCCCCTGCTCTCGGGCCTCCCTCACCCTCCTGTCTCTCCCTAGGCTCTCAGGCCACCTGGCTCCTCATCTTCGCCCTGCTCTGCCTGCCCTGGCCTAAGGAGGTCCGTGGTTTCCCGGCCATGCCTTTGTCCAGCCTTTTTGGCAACGCAGTGCTCCGAGCCCAGCACCTGCATCAGTTGGCTGCTGACACCTACAAAGAATTTGTAAGCTCCCCAGGGATGGGTACCTGGCCAGGGTAGTGAACCCTCCCTGGAAAGTAATGAGAGGAAAGTGAGGGGCTCAGGGGTTGTACGCAAGTAAAGTGTGGTTTGGATGAGCAGAAACTAGGGAGCTTCCTGATAAAGTAGCTATGGAAGCTGCTCACCAGCCCAGACCTCAGTGATGGTGCTTCCCCTAGGAGCGCACCTACATCCCCGAGGGACAGCGTTACTCCATCCACAACACCCAGACTGCCTTCTGCTTCTCGGAGACCATCCCTGCTCCAACGGACAAGGAAGAAGCCCAGCAGAGATCCGTGAGTGGCCACCAGGCTCTTCAAAGTCAGTTCTCCCTTCCTTCCTGGCAGCCCTGCCCATGCCCCAGGCCAGGGGTCACCTTCTCTCCCAGACTAGGTTGTGGGAGGCCCAAGCAGAGACCACCCTAGCTGCGCGGCAACTCGCTGGTCTTCTCCCACAGGACGTGGAGCTCCTGCACTTCTCACTGCTGCTCATCCAGTCATGGCTGGGGCCTGTGCAGTTCCTCAGCAGGGTCTTCACCAACAGCCTGGTGTTCGGCACCTCGGACCGTGTCTATGAAAAACTGAAGGACCTGGAGGAGGGCATCCAGGCGCTGATGCGGGTAAGGATGGCCCTGGGGCCACAACCACCACCCCACTGGCCAGCTACAGGCTGGTGGGACTTCCAGAGCTGTGGGGGGAAATGCTGCTGCTCTTCCTTTCCCCTTCTGGATCCTCCAGGCGGTTCTCTAGGCCACTGAAGATGGGGAGGAAGGTGGATGCAAGTGGGAAGCCAGGACTCTCATGAACTTGGCTTCTGCCGTCCTTCCTCCCAATTACAGGAACTAGAAGATGGCACCCCCCGTGCCGGGCAGATCCTCAAGCAAACCTATGACAAATTTGACACCAACTTACGCAGCAACGACGCACTGCTCAAGAACTACGGGCTGCTCTCCTGCTTCAGGAAGGACCTGCACAGGACTGAGACCTACCTGCGGGTCATGAAGTGTCGCCGCTTTGTGGAGAGCAGCTGTGCCTTCTAGTTGCACAGTGTTTCTGTCACCCGCCTGCTTCTCTCCGTACCCTGGAAAGTGCCACTCCAGTGCCCACTGTCCTTGTCCCAATAAAACTGAGCTGCATCATATTATCTGACTAGGTGTCTTTCTGTTATGCAATGGAAGTGGGGGGCAGTAAGACTGGGCGGACAACCCACAGGAATCCTGTGGGGTCTCTGGAACTGGGCTACTGAGATAGTGGTCCTGGGTCTTCTCATGTCAGAGAGAAGCTGACACATTACTCCTCCATCACACCCTAACTCTGCCACCTGTTGGTGTCCCAGTTTTCTGGGTAGTCACTAGTTAACAAGCTCATAGGTCACCCCATAAAGTACTTGGAGGCCTCTCTCCCTCTCCCACCAGCACCAGAAATGCCAAATTCACCTCCCTCAGAGCGAGAAGAAACGAAAACAAGACAGGCTAATACACGCAGAAACAAATGCCCCCTCTCCTCAATGAGAAATACGAGGGAAATCACAGAATTATGTCCTTGCATAAAACTTTAGGCTAAATATTCATTAGGTTCCACTACCCATAGGAAATGAGGTGAGAGCAAAAAATGAACAAAACCAGCACATTCGGAATCCGAATTGGGCAAAGAAAGTGGAAGAGAAAATAGGGATTGCAAATCCTGGGCCAGGAGATGCCACGTCAATGACTTTGTGAGTGATGAGAGCTGAGTGAGACAGGAGATGTGCCATGGACACCACGCAGAGGATGGAGCCGCCAAAGTGCAGCTCGTCCAGTCTTGGGCCACGCATGTCTGCAGGAAGAAGTTTGCCAGACCTAATTCTTCAACACTACTGGGACCCCTGAAGTTCCTTTGGTTTCTTTTCTTTCTTTCTTTTTTTTTTGATACTGGGGATTGAACTTGCGACCTCACACTTGCCAGGCAGGCGCTTATGCCACTGAGCTAAATCCCTGGCCCCCTTTGTTTTTTTTTGTATGCAAAATCATTTTTTTTCCCCTTTGGTATGGGGATCAAACTCACAACCTTGCGCCTGCCAAGCAGGCACTTGTGCCACTGAGCTAAACCCCCAGTGCAAAATCTAATTTTTAAACATTGGCCACTAATACATATTGAAAACATTTTAAGGTCAAAAAATGAATGCAAACACATCTGGTTTTCAAGCTGGCAGGGATCAGCTTTGTTCTAAAGGCAGTGTTATTAGGACAGCTTGGCATAAGCAAAGAATCAGAGACTCTTTTGTAGTTTGTGTTCTTGAACAAATTACTTAACAGCCTTGAGATAATAATACACGCTATTTGTAGTTTGTGTTCTTGAACAAATTACTTAACAGCCTTGAGATAATAATACACAGATTTTATGAGGGTTAACTGAAATTGTATTGCTAGCCCTTGTGTTTTTCAGATTCCATGCAATATTTTTAATTCACTCTGACAAGATAGCATTTCTGAATTCCTTCCATCAGCGTTGCCAAAATGTGCACAGTGAGCTTTGTCCCTTTATGCATATTTGAGAGCAGAACTCACACTTTCCACTTTCTTCAAAGTCCTCAGAAAGTGAGGATCTGGGCTTCCAGGTCAAGCAAGCTCACACTTGCCTTGAAGCTCCTTTAATTCACGAGTTTCGCTGGGGGGTAGCAGGGTGGTTGACCTCTTGCTTAGCGTGTGTGAAGCTCTGGATTTGAACTCCAGTGTTGAAAAAAAAATTAAATGAAACTAAACTAAAATACAGAAGTCTCTGACAGAGCTGAGAAATACTGAACGATAGTAGCATCATGCCAGCTGGGCCCAGTTGGTATAAAGCTTTCCCAGTTTTTACACCAAAAGCATGATGTCCAAGGATCCCCTAAACTCAATACAAACTAAGCTATTAAGATTGGCCGCCTGAGCCAGGCATAGAGGCACACAGCTGAAATCCCAGCACTGTGGACTTCAAGTCAGGAAGATCACTGACAGTTCAAGGCCAGCCTCAATTACGTAGCAAGATCTGATCTCAAAAATAAACAAACAAATGATTTGAAATGGCTGGGGATATAGCTTACTGTGAAGGTCCTGGTTCATCCCCCAGTACCAGGGGGAAAAATCTTCTAACTAGGATTTGTAAATCCTAAGAAACCAAAAAGGAGAAAGTATGGAAAGGAAGAAATAAAAAACCAGACAACTAGGAAGAAAGAACATAATGGGCCAGTTGGGCCAATGGTGGTGCATGCCTGTAATCCCAGCATTTGAGAGGCTGAGATGGGAGGATTGCTATGACTCTAAGGCTATCCTGGGCTACTTGTGAATTCAAGGCCAGCCTACACTACATACAGGATACAGATGGAGGCTGAATTCCTGAATTCCAGGATCCTGAACTCCAGGCTAGCCTGGGGTACATAGCAAGACTCTGTCTCAAAACAAAACAAGAACTTTTAGGGTCTGGAAACAATGGGAGCAACTACCCATAAGAATTTGTTGCTAGTGGGGCTGGGGATTTCGCTCAGCAGCATAAGTGCCTGCCTTGCAAGCCTGTGGTCATAAGTTCGATCCCTGGTACCAGTAAAAATACAAAAAAATACGAAAAAAAAAAAAAAAGAATTTGTTACTATACTGGAAAAGAAAGGCAATGAGACATTTTTGGGCTGTGTGAATTGGCAAGGAGGGGCTAGGGGACTCCTGGTTGTGTGAATCTCTGGAAAGGAAAAAGAACAGGTGCACCCATGGGGAAGAGCTTAGAACAAATGTAGGTGGGATGACTAATCCGAAGTATCTGTAGTAGAGGGTTGCCTAGCATGCTGCACGCTAACCACCTGCACTGAGACAACACAGAAGAAAAGTACTGAGCTCTAAACTACCCCCAGGGTGACACTTAATTATGGGAACCCAAGCAAGAAGTTACCTGGAGCTCAAAGACCCACAGTGCCCAGCATGTGGCCAACCGCAGGCTGGCATCTGCAGTGTCTCTTGGTTTGCAGGGACCCTGTAGGACGACTGTCAACAGCGACGCCGTGTGGCAGTGTGGAGCAAAGACCAGCCAGGCCAAGCCTCCAGCGCCCCCTGCTGGAAATAGGAAAGTCAAATGACTGCTGCTTCTTTTCCCGGTTTAGTGTGCCTCTGGGCTTTGGGGCCCTAAAGTGGCCTTCACAGATGTAAAACAACTGCAGGAAACAACTGCAGGCCTAATGCAGTTAGCTGACCGTGACAGAAATGTCTGGAGGTCCCTTGATTAGCTTCTCTCTCTCTCTCTGGTACCTGAGATTGAACTCAGGGCCTCATGCATGCTAGGCAAGTACTCTACCACTGAGCTACATCCCCAGCCCTACTCTGCTCTCTTAAATCTACTTCATAAGCTATTTCTTCAAGTGCTCCATTTGAGGTGAATGTTTGTGTTACACTTACATTGTGAGAGAGTTGAGGGCTATCATAGTGGAATAATTGAGATCGAAAAGATCAAATTTGGGGGAGCACTGTTTTTACAAACTCAGATCAAAATGTGTCCAGGATCTCTCTCTTGAGCCTGAGTTAGATTTTCTCTTTAACAATCTATGTTGTCCTGAACATAGCAAATTTAGTCTCTTCATCTACCCTCGCTTCCCTGATATGGTTTGGGTAAGTGTCCCCCAAAGAACCACACGTTAAAATCTTGGTTCCCAATCTGATGGTGCTATTGAAAGATGGTAGAATCTTTTTCTTTTTACTTTTTTTTTTTTTTTACTCAGTACTGGGGATCGAACTCACGACTGCTAGCACTTGCAAGACAGGTGCTTATGCTGCTGAGCTAAATCTCTAACCCTGATAGTATAATCTTTTAAGATATGGCATCTAGTGAAAGGGAGTTAGCTCAATATCCCCTTGAAGGGGATATTGAGACCCCAGGCCCAAAGGTTACAGAGTAAAGTGATCACAGACTGAAATCTATAACTAAAATAAACCCTTTTGCTTTATAGGTTGATTTAGCTATATAGTATTTGTTACAATAATGGAAAGCTGACTTAACACATTCCTTTTTTGTACTGGTAATCAAACTTAGGACCTCACACTGGCCAGGCTGGCAGTGTGCTGCTGAGCTCTATCCCTGGCCCAAACACATTCCTAATTTTGAGTCAGTGAACTATACTCTCAGCCCAAGAAGACACCTCTCGAAGCTTAAAAGAAAGTCTTACATACACATGAAAATAGATATTTCTTTATGCAAAGGGAGAATAAACATTAGAACTGTAACTTAGGAAGCCATGTAGTTAAATATATATGTCAAATTGGAGTTCACAGGTGATTACTCTGTAATGGTTTCTGAAAAAGAACTCAGAGGTATTTGAGACCCTTCACCTAGGAGGTCAATTTCATAGAACCTCTACCTTCCCCTTCAGAGACAAAACATCAGTGCTGAGTGACCTCCCTAGCTGACCCAATGTGGAATTTATGCTTTTTATTCTGCTCCAGGCTAACAACTGATGATTATCAAGTTAAGGCATAACTGAAAGAGAAATGAAATACAGATGACTAGAAAGGAGAAAAGGGAAATCATAACTTTAAAAATAAAAACTGCAGCTTCAAGACACAAACCTAGTTTTTAAAGTTTTTTTTTTTTTCCTCTCAAGACACAGTGAGCCTGGGCCATTCCATTTTAGTTGCAAATGGAGTTTGCCAAGGCATGGTGGCACGAGTGAGTAGTCCCAAAAGTCCAGAGGCTGAGGCAGGAGGGTCACCATGACTTTAGAGCCAACCTGCCATGCAGACTGAATCTGAGGATTACATAGTGAGACCCTGTCTCAAAAAAACAAAAACAACAACAGCAAATACCTTGCAGATAGACTTGGCCATCCACTTTTACCGTAAACAGGCTTTTTTTTTTTTTTAACTTGTAAATTGCCCTTTCCTTGGGGATGAGCTAGAATTCACCTGGACTGGGTTTGAACTTTTGATCTTCATGTCGCAGCCCCCTACAGAGCTAGGATGACCGGATGCACCACTCTGCCTGGGATGTTTTTTGTTATTTTGAGGCTGGATGTTACTATGTTGCTCAGGTTGGCCTCAAATTCAGACTTAAAAGCTATCCTCCTGCCTCAAGCTGCCCACATACCTGGAGGCACATACAACTGCTGGCCTCTGTGGATATTGTGTTTGCTTTGTTGTTTGTTTGATT